AAATTCCTAACTCCGGCTTCTGATTGGCCGAGCTCCAGCACTGTGGCCATTTGAGGAGTGAACCAGTTGATGGAAGACCTTTCTCTCTGTCTCTCCCTCTTTCTGTCTGTAATTCTACCACTCAAATAAATAAAATCTTTTTAAAATTAAATTATCTTTTGGGGCCAGTGCTGTGGTGTAGTGGGTAAAACTGCCACCTGCAGTGCCAGCATCCCTTATGGGCACCAGTTCGAGAGCCGACTGCTCTACTTCTGATCCTGCTCTCTGCTATGGCCTGGGAAAGTAGTAGAAGATGGCCCAAGTCCTTGGGCCTCTGCACCTGCGTAGGAGACCCAGAAGAAGCTTCTGGCTCCTGGCTTCAGACCAGTGCAGCTGCAGCCATTGCGGCCATTTGGGGAGTGACCAGTGGATAGAAGACCTTTCTCTTTGCCTCTCCCTCTTTCTGTCTGTAATTCTACCACTTAAACAAATAAAATATTTAAAAAATTAAGTTATCTCAAAAATTAAAAAAAGAAAGGAAGGCTCAAGGACAGAGAGAGAGTGGGAGAGAGAGAAGTGGAGGGAGGAACAGAATATCCTTATGTTCTCAGAACTGTATCTACAAACCATATTAAATCTGTTAAAAACTAAAATTAAAATTAAAAATAATTTAAAAGTCAAAAAAATAAAATATTACAGGTAGCTGCCATTGTGGTGCAGCAGGTTAAAGCTGTCACTTGCAATGACTATATCCCTCATGGGAGTGCTGGTACGTGTCCTGGCTACCCTGCTTCTGATCCAGCTCCCTGAAGATGCACCCAGGGAAGGCAGTGGATGATAGCCAGGTATTTAGTCCCTTGCCACTCATGTGGGAGACCACGAGGCAGTTCCTGGCTCTTGCCTTTGGCCTGGCCCAGCCCTGACTGTTGAAGCCATCTGGGGACATAAACCAGCAGTTAGAAGTTCTCCCTCTGACCAGGAAGAAGCACCTGGCTCCTGGCTTCGGATCGGCATAGCTCCGGCCTTTGCGGCCATTTGGGGGGTGAACCAACGGAAGGAAGACCTTTCTCTCTGTCTCTCCCTCTCACTGTCTGTAACTCTACCTGTCAAATTAAAAAAAAAAAGAGCCGGCGCCGTGGCTCAATAGGCTAATCCTCCACCTTGCGGCGCCGGCACACCGGGTTCTAGTCCCGGTTGGGGCGCCGGATTCTGTCCCGGTTGCCCCTCTTCCAGGCCAGCTCTCTGCTATGGCCAGGGAGTGCAGTGGAGGATGGCCCAGGTGCTTGGGTCCTGCACCCCATGGGAGACCAGGAAAAGCACCTGGCTCCTGGCTCCTGCCAGGATCAGCGCGGTGCGCCGGCTGCAGCGGCGGCCATTGGAGGGTGAACCAGCGGCAAAGGAAGACCTTTCTCTCTGTCTCTCTCTCTCACTGTCCACTCTGCCTGTCAAAAAAAAAAAAAAAAAAAAAAAAAAAAAAAAAATTAAAAAAAAAAAAATTCTCCCTCTCTGTTTCTCCCTCTCTCTCTAATGCTCTTAAAAATGAACAAATATTAAGAAAAAATAAAATATTAACAATAAGATCTAGGTGCTAGGCATGCAAGCAGTTATTGTAAAATTCTCCTACCTTTGGGATGTCTGGAAATACGCATTATAAAATCTGGAGGAAAACTAAGGTTAAAAATACACGTGTGGGGATTGTTCCTCTCTCAGAAACCTCCCTGCATGCCACTCTGGCTGGAGGTCTTTGACTCTAATAAACCTTTTTAAATCTCTCTGCTTGTCCACTTGGAAATTCTTCTTCCATGTGAGACAAAGAACCGAGGTAATAAAAATTTATCCCTCACCATTTTCCCATAACATTTTGGTGCCATGACTCAGGTTGCAGCTCCAACGTGACACATATATTGCTAAAGTTCAATTCCAGCCAGCATCGGATCATCTCACCGGACCAGGAGACCTTTTATTTAAGGAATACAAACTTCATGCATTTTATAGATACAACTTTGGGAAATGGTGATTCTTCCCACCATACCAGCCCTCCCACCCCTCTTCCTCCTCCCTCTCCTATTCACATTCTTATTTTTTATTAGAATCTATTTTCGATTAACTTTATACACATATGATTAACTCTGTATTAAGAGTTCAATAAATTGTATGTCTTTATAAAAATACAGATTATGTGACTTCTAAAAATAAAAAAAAATACATGTATCATGATGAGTTAGGTGTGCAAACCCCACTGTCAGCTAGGGCCTCTCCGCTTTGTCCATCTTTGGCTCAAAAATACAAATCTTGTGAATTTTTTTTTACATTGTAAACGTTACTATTTACTTACAGGTGTGATTATGAACAGGAAGTTGGCCAAAAAAACAGAAAAATTTCTCTGTTGCATTTCTATTCTGGCCATTGTAATGATGCACTTTTTGCTCATGATTATCAATGAAAATGATCTTGTTATGTGGGAGGGTATTTAAAATTAAACCCTCTGGGTAGGCAGTCACTAGATATGCCACTGTGAGTCAACCGAGCACGCCTTGCTGAGGCTGAACTGGAAAGGGGTCACAGAGGCAGTTTTGCTGGCCTCTCCTTGAGGCATTGAGAGCCCAGTGGGCAGCAGGGATGGCAGCAGTAGGGGTGGGGAATCTGGCAGCCTGGGCAGTACCTTCACAGCCTTGTGTCAGTCAGTAAGGAGCCTACTGACAGCTTCACCAAGGCATCCGCAGGACACGCAGGCCTTGGGCCTGTGGGGCTTGGCACTGGAGCCTCGGTAGCAGACACAGCCCCCAGGAGCTGGAACAAAGCAGGGGGATGGTCACAGTGACACCACCTGGTATCTGGGGAAAAAGCCAAAGAAGCACAATTTTCTATCAGGGCTCCAGTTGCATCTCCATTCTGGCTTGTCAGGCAATGCAGCTTAGAGCGTCTACATTTTCTATGCAAATTGTTGGAGAACAATTTTAAAAGGCTGTTACCATTTTGCTGCCTTTTATAAATCATTCTTATTTTGGACAACTCCTCCCCACTTTCCTGATTTGTATCGTGATGAGTTAGGTATACAAACCCCACTGTCAACTGGGGCCTCCCTGTCCGCTCCATCTTTGGCTCAATTGGTCCAATCTTTGAAGATCTCCAGGAGGACCTGGATTCTCTGGGCCCTTGGGACTTACATTAGCATCTGTCTGGTCTACAGCACTGGAGCACGCCTGTGAACCGCCGCCCCCAGCGGCCTATGGAGAGAGGTGCCTTGCCCCTGCAGACTGAGCGGAGTGATGGAGGAGTTTCATGGCAAAGCTAGCGACTTCAAGCACTACACCTGCTGGCTAGAAAGGCTCCGGTGGCAGGGCTGCTCTGTGTCGTGGACCTGCTTCAAAGCCCAGGTCAAAGCTGGAAACCTCCCCAGTTACCAGAAAGAGGGCCGACGCAGTACTCCTGAGCATGGAAAATGCTGCCCAATCCGCCCAGGCACTCTGCTTTTTTCTCCTGGCGGCATGAGATGAACAACTTGTCCTTTGTTTTGGAGAGGAGGTCCCGGTCAGGCCCAGCCAGCACCCTGATGTAGGCATTTCACTGATGTGGTGGAGCCCCCACCCCCTGGAGCACAGGTGCCTCCTCAAGGCCTCCGGTGTGCTTGCACTTCTTGCTCACCTAGGATCATTCACGTGATTTCCTTGATAGCGCCGGCCACTTTGCTGGGATGTTTTCTCCAACTTCCTTCCAAGAGCCATCCCAGCAGTGTAACAGAGCTGTTCCCTGAGCTCCTTGCCACGGTGCACTTACATCACAGGAGAATGCTCTCTTAGTGAATCCTTCCCTGTGCAACTTTCGGTTTTTCCCTGTTGATTATGCAAACTCAGAATCCATACAAACTCTTCCAGTTTCTGCCAAGCTGTGTTGCCTGGGTCCCGCAGCTCCCCCTGAGAAATCGTCTCTCTCTTCCCTTAGGAGGCCCAGAACTTATGTCGTGATTTAACTCGTTACTGATTTGGGCAGGGCAGAGGAGGGAGTTTAGATCCTGTGGGGCAATGAGGTGTTTTCTTGGAAGGCCAAAATCTCCGTGTTGACTTCAAAAGCAGGGAAGGTTAATCTTTAACCAACCGGAAGTGCGCGGGCCCTTCTCTAGGCCCAAGGGATTCAGCGGAAATCAAGATTTGTCCGGCGCCGTGGCTCAATAGGCTAATCCTCCACCTTGCGGCGCCGGCACACCGGGTTCTAGTCCCGGTCGGGGCGCCGGATTCTGTCCCGGTTGCCCCTCTTCCAGGCCAGCCCTCTGCTATGGCCAGGGAGTGCAGTGGAGGATGGCCCAGGTGCTTGGGCCCTGCACCCCATGGGAGACCAGGAAAAAGCACCTGGATCCTGGCTCCTGCCATCGGATCAGCGCGGTGCGCCGGCTGCAGCGGCGGCCATTGGAGGGTGAACCAACGGCAAAGGAAGACCTTTCTCTCTCTGTCTCTCTCTCTGTCCACTCTGCCTATCAGAAAAAAAAAAAAAGATTTGTAAGAATTTTGAGTCCTATGTCCTCAACCCAAATCTCAAAATCCTGTTCCTGCCCAGTTAGGACTGTGACTTGACATAAAAACAGAGTAGAAGTTACTCACGTAAGGCCACTGCTAAGAAATAAAAGATCAAATCAGAAAACTAGAAACATCCAACAAATCAGGTTGTCGAGCAGCAGCAACAAAGTCTCCTGAGAAGCTAAAGTCAAGTGCTGAGTCTCCCAGCAAAAGGACTGAAGTGGTGACTCTGGGCTGGGGCCGGGGGCTGCCGGGAGCGGCTTTCTTCACAGGCTGCATGAGGGATTCTGATGCAAGCGACGCCAGATCACACTCTAAGTGACAATGAAGCTTTTCTTCTGTCCACTTTATTTTAACCCATCAATTAATCACAGATTGGGTTTTCAAATTTCTTAGCAAGTTTGGTTGCCAGATAAAATACAGAACACATAGTTAAATTTGTACTTCAGATAAAAAATACATAACAAATACATAAAAAATACATAACTAAAGTATAAGGATACCTCATGGGAACAGGATCATCATAATCACCATCATAATAAATATACTATTTTTTTCAATATATTATAATAAAATATGATACTAGGAATAACTTTTAAATCATATGATCAAATTAAGCAGGTATAAATATTATGAACAATATTATAACAAGATGTAATATAAATTTTTAGAAATAATAGTCATTAATTATCTGAAATTTAAATTTAAACATCCTGCATTTTTATTTGCTAGCTCTTCTAATGAAGGGAATTTTCAAATTTACACAAAATGAGAAAGAATAAATTAAGCCCACATGTAACTATCCTGCTGCTAGACAATTATCAACATTTTGCTCCAAAAGTTTTTCTATTGAAGTTTTGTGTCTATCATCTCCTAGGCTGTGGCAGATTCAGAAAACAAAACAAAACAAAACAAAACATGTTCTTCAATAGTTTATCACCAAGTTGGGGAAACAATGTACACATTCACAGGATGACTAGTGAAGAGTAAGTGCTGTCAGCCCCCAGGAGTTAGGGGAAGGGAGCAGCCGGCAGCTGCAGCCCTAGTCGTCCTGAATGAGCGGAGCCTGGAGTTGACATTGTGTTAGGCCTGGTAAGATCTGCATCAGGGAAGAAGGGGTGGAGGAGCAGGCTTTCAGGCGGGGTAACCAGCACTGCCAGATTGGATTCACTCTGGTGCTACTAAAAAGACTCCGCATTGGAAAGCACTCACCGTGCCGCCCCTCCCGCCGTGATCATCGGGAGCCAGAGCAGCTGTCACCCATCAGGCTGAAGCCCATCACACATCAAGCACTGCTGCAAATCCCATCATCAGCACCGATTAGCTCTTGAACGTGTCAGCATAATAGCTGCTCCATCTTCTCTGGGTGACTCGTTAATTAACCTCTGGAATGTGCTGTCTTTGACATCATTGGGGAGTTAAATTTTTTCCTTGATTGAAAGTAGCCCTGGGGAGAATTATAACTTGATAAGAGAAGCAAGATTCTATTCAATTGGCCAGCTTTATTCTAACGCTTATAAAATGCCACGGTTACTTGGGCCTGTGGGCACATGTCAAGTAATGAAGAAAAAGACAGAACAGCACTATATTTCTTCTCCTGAATTCCATTAACATTTTAAATGATCTATTTTTCTATTCAAGTGACAAGAACACCAAATATGAGGTCTTACAAAGTTAGTAAGTTCACTTTTTAAAAAAAATTATTTTTTAATCTTTATTTGAAAAGCAGAGTGAGAAAGAGAGAAAGATCTTTCATCCGTTGATTCACTACCAAATGCCCACAACAGCGGGTTCTGGCCAGGCAGGAGACAGGAACCAAGAATTCCCTCCTGGTCCCCTGTGAACGTGGCAGGGACCTAACTGCTGGGACCATTATCCACCGCTTTCCCAGGCACATAGGCAGGTAGCTCAATTGAAAGTAGAGTAGCTGGGATTCAAACTGGCTCCGTATCCAGGATGCAGGCACCCCAAGCATCAGTTTAATCTACTGTGCTACAGTGCTTGCCTCAACAAGTTCATTTTTTAATTCCTCTCAACTTTACATGTCACTTCAAATACTAAGTTTGCAAACTTGAAAAAGTATTAAATCAAAATGTAATATAGGTATAGATTCTGAAGCAACAAATAACCAGGACTCCTAAAAGCCCTCTTCTGGCTCCCTTCCAGTCGCCATTCCCACAAAGAATAGCCACTATCCTCTCAGAGTATAGAACAGTTTCGTCTGGTTTTGTACTTTATATAAATACAAGTAGAACCATATATTAGGGCTGGCACTGTGGCGCAGTGGGTTAATGCCCTGGCCTGAAGCGCTGGCATCCCATATGGAAGCCAGTTCGAGACCCAGCTGCTATACTTCAGAACCAGTTCTCTGCTATGGCCTGGGAAAGCAGTAGAGAATGGTCCAAGTCCTTGGGCCCCTGCACCAGCATGGGAGACCCGGAAGAAGCTCCTGGCTCCTGGCTTCGGATTGGCGCAGCTCTGACCACTGCGGCCAATTGGGGAGTAAACCAGCGGATGGAAGACCTCTCTCTCTCTCTCTCTCTCTCTCTCTCTCTGCCTCTCCTCTCTCTGTGTAACTCTGATTTCAAATAACTAAATAAATCTTTTAAAAAATAACCATGTACTATGTATTCTATTCTCTGGCTTCTTTCACTCAACCCTACATTTATGAGATTTAAGGGATGCTAATTTAAAAACAACTTTTGTTATTAACGAATATGGACTCAATAATAAAAAATGGGAGAGGCAGGCATTTGGCGTGGTGGTTAAGATGATGCGTGGGAGTACCTGAGTTTGAGTCTTGGCTCTGCTTCTGATTCCAGCTTCCTGCTTAAGACACACCCTGGGGACAGCAGCTGATGGGTCAGGTAGTTGGATCCCTGCCACCCAGACTGAGTTCCCAGCTTCTGGTTTCAACCTGGCCCAGCCCCGTTTGTGGCAGCTATCTGAGGAGTGAACCACAGAATGGAAGCTCTCCCATCTCTCTCAAATAAATTAAACATTTTTAAAAAAATAATTGGATAATACATTATCATTTCAAATTACTTTTTAAATTACACTTACACATTTTATCTGATCAAGGTTATGGACTTTTACAAAGGTCCTGCTTAAAACGAAAAGCTATTATTTCTTTTGAGCGTTTTATAAGTCCTTTTGTCCTGGCCTATTATTATGATTATGAATCCAATTTCTCCTAAACATAAAACTTACCCAGATCCAAAGGCCTTACAAGCTCTGCAGCATCTCTAGGACAAGAGAAATGTGAGAATTAGACCCAGGTGTCTTCCAGCTGGTGCACACCCTGGTGGCTGGCTGCCAGCTTGGCCCCTGTAAGGACGCCTGTCATGTCAGAGCCGCAGTCCTGGGCTTTCTCAGAAGAGCGGGTGTACGCCTTAGCCTCGAGGAGAACAAAGGTTTGCCTCTTTCCACTCACCTCTTTAGGAGCACGACTCCACAAACCAGGCTCAGCATTGCCCTAAGGTGCACTTAAAAAAAAAGAAAAACCTTTAGGAAAACTTTTCAATCCTTTTTTTTTCAATTTTAAAAATTTCAATAAAACACACATAAAATGTTCCATTTTAACCAATTTTAAGTGCACAATTCCGTGGTGTTAAGTATATTCACGCTTTGGGCAGCCATGACTACCTCCCGTCTCTAGAACTCTTCAATCTTGCAAAATGGAAACTCTGTACTCCTTAAACAATACATTCCTCCCTCTACCTAGCCCCCGGCAACCATCATTTGATTTTCTTCAAGATACAGGAGTTTAACGTTCTGTGAGAATTCTTTCTCATGCTCTCATTCCAGGCTTCTGGGACACATTTTCCCAACGACAAGGTCATTCCCTGCTCTCCGAAATGAATGTCTATCAGTTCCTGTTCTCTTCATCTTTGCAAAGGTCATCCTAACCTTTGTGTCAAGTTCAGTCAGCTCGATCTTCTGGGCACGAAGGAGGAGTTACTGGCATTAACTGTAAGGCCATGGAGGTCATCCCCCCTCAGCCACGGCCATGGTCATTTGCCACTCCACGAAGTGCTCTAGGTGAGTTGTGCTCCCGGTTCTCGCCACACCTTCTGCTCACAGAGCAAACACTTTCAATCTCCAGGAGACAGAACAGATGGAGAATGACTGTTTTTTCCAATCCATTTCTGAACTGTCCTAGCGTTCAGTCCTTTGCCCTTTATTTTAGAGCCACCTTATTCCTCCTGATACAATACGAAGCTGCTGGTAACTAAAAGCCTGACTATCAGGGACTTCCCGTCATGGCTGAATGAGGAGCTCAGCAATTTATCTCCCCCAAACGTAACCCTAAATCTGGACAAAGTCGACTAACACAACCACTTGAGCACCCTGAGGATAGATCAGAGATACACATGAAAAGCAGCTATGCTTGAACAACGACTGCGCTTCACGCATGAACAATGGGAGTCCCTGGCACTCTGGCCCAGGGCTGCTCCCATTCCTCTTGCCGCCTGCTGCTTGTTTGATGCTGATGTTCTATTGAGTCAGGGCAGGTTGTACCAGCAGCAACTCAGTCCCCTTCAAAGGGGCTCACTCCTTTGGGACTGCCTATGCCTCCATGGAGGAAGGAAGAGCAGCGGAAGTAATAATGACATGGGGTTTCATAATTATTGCTTTATACAATCCCGTGCCTTTGAAAGAAGTTAAGACAAGAAACGGGGAATAAAATTACTCTTAATTCTTTTTTGAAACCCCATGTCGGCCAGCAACGCGGCTCACTAGGCTAATCCTCCGCCTAGCGGCGCCGGCACACCGGGTTCTAGTCCCGGTCGGGGCGCCGGATTCTGTCCCGGTTGCCCCTCTTCCAGGCCAGCTCTCTGCTGTGGCCAGGGAGTGCAGTGGAGGATGGCCCAAGTGCTTGGGCCCTGCACCCGCATGGGAGACCAGGAAAAGCACCTGGCTCCTGGCTTCAGATCAGCGTGATGCGCTGGCCGCAGCGGCCATTGGAGGGTGAACCAACAGCAAAAAGGAAGACCTTTCTCTCTGTCTCTCTCTCTCACTGTCCACTCTGCCTGTCAAAAAAAAAAAAAAAAAAAAAAAACAACAACAACAACAAAAAACCCATGTCATTACTCACCCAGAGCTTCTTTTCCTTCTGCATACCCAGCATACAGTACTTTCTTGTGTGCATCCAACATGTAAAGAACAGTTGATTTTTGTAATTAATTAGTAAATGAATAACATCCCAAGCAGAGTGAGAGTAGTAAAAGAGAATATTGCATATTCTAGAAACTATAAATTGTTCCAAAAACCTCCAGTTGTATTTCCCAAATTGAATTCCATAATATGTTAATAGTCTGGTGCTCAAATATTATGCATCCCATTCCTTTCTTAAGATATTCTCAGGACACAGGGCTGGTGTTGTGGTGTAGGAGGGAAAGCTGCCCCCTGCTATGTTGGCATCCATTTGGGCATAGGTTCAAGTCCTGGTTGCTCCACTTCTTATCCAGCTCCCTGCTAAATGGCCTGGGGAAAGCAGCAGAATATAGCCCCAGTGCTTGGGCCCCTGCCACGCATGTGGAAGACCCAGAAGAAGCTCCTGGGTGCTGGCTTCAGCCTGGCCCAGCCTTGGACCATTGAGGTCATTTGGAGAGTGAACCAGCAGATGGAAGATCTCTCTCTCTCTCTCTCTCTGTAACTCTGCCTTTCAAATAAATAAATAAATATTTTATAAAAAAAGGATATTCTCAGTACACATTACTGTGTTTAAATCCATATAATGGGCTTCAATCCAAACTTCTTTGGCCAGACTTTCATCAACATCTTGAGGAAGTGGCCCTCAGAAGAGTGATGAGATACTGGCCTGGAGTCTAGGCAAGATTTGAGGGAGTTGGGGGAGATGAGCCTGGAGAAGTAGATTGTGGCCAGGCCAGAGGGAGCTGGTTTGAAATGCAAGGACTTTGAATTTTACTTTACTAATTACAGAAAACTATTGAAATATGTTAGACAAAAGAGTAACATTGTCTAATTCACGTTAAAGTTTTTATTTATTTATCTATTCCAGATGTAGAGACAGAGAGGTATCTCATCTGCTAGTTCACTCCCCAGATGCCCATAAAAATGCCCATAACCTGGGCAGAAGTTAGGAGTCAGGAACACAATCCAGGTCTCTCCCATAGATGGCCAGGAAGCATCTATTTGGGCCATCACCTACTGCCTCCTGGGGTCTGCCCTAGCAGGAAGCTGGAACTGGGCACTGACAGAGCACTCTAACCCCAGTACTCTGACCTAGACATATTAACCTCCAGGCCAAACACCAGCCCCTAATTTGCATTTCACAAGGGTCATCCTGACAGCAGTGTAGACAGTAAGTTGGAGGGAGGACAGGCTGGAAGCAGAGGAACTGGTTAGAAGGCAGTGTCAGTGATCCAGGCAACTGGAGTGGCTCAGGAACAGGGAGAAGGGACTAAATTAAGAAAACATATTTAGGAAGCAAACTGCCAGGTATTCACTACTGAGTGTGTCTCGGGGTGAGAGAGAGGGAGGTGCCCTTGAAACCCTCGACTTCTCTGACTTGGACAACTGACAGTGGTAATGACTTCCATAGCGACGTTCCAGTAGTGACCTTTATGAGATACCCGTTCAATTTCCTCGCTTTCCAGGGAAACTTGCTAAAATCTTAACTTTCTGGAAAAGATCGTCTACTCTGTCCGAAAGGCCTGAGAGACCAAGTTGCTTCACATGGAGAAGCCGTAGCAAGTGTCGCTAGCATTAAGTGCTGAGTTTTGAGATATCTGCTGGGTGCGCGGTGGAATCCCAAGCTGAAGAGCCTGGCCGTGGGGCTGCAGGCTTCAGAAGGGCCTAGCCTCGCACCCAGGCAGGAGCCTGGCGGGGAAGGAGGCTGAGAGGAAGAGGAGCCTCCAAACTCCCCTAAATGCTTCTGCAGTCTGAAGTTCTGTTCACACCTCACCTCGGGTTTCAGCTGTAAATGACGCCTTCAGGTTTGAGTTTCAGATCAAAAGAATCCCCGTAGACTCCTGGGAGTCCTCCCTTTTCTATGAAAGATGACATCAGAGGCTTGTGCCCTGCTGACATCACCTGGGAGACGGCCCCTCCTCCACCTTGGCTGCAGGAAGCTGGAGTCCCGGGGCTCTGCTCTCCAGCCCGGTACCCCTGGAAGCCCTGAGAGTCTTTCCTGAAGACAGCTCAGGCTCTGAGCACGCCCAGTGGGGACTTTCTTCTTGGGTTCCACCCTGGAGCAGATGTAGGCAGTCAGGAAAATGTCACCCAACCTGTCTCTCCCCCACCTGACAGGTGTGCCAGAAACACCTGTCCTGCTGGGCTGTGTCCTTGAAGAGAGCCTGCCTCTGGTCAGAGAGAGGTCTTCTGACAAACTCTTACCCTCCACGGGCCCAATACAGTGCAATTGGGACTGTCCATTACCTAGGACTCTGGTTTTTTAGCTTCTTAGGTTGTTCAGGGAGGTAATTAAATGCCCTGGTTCTAATGACACATAGTTTCCATTCTAGTTACTTAAAGTTCCTTCTCTGATAAATAGTTTAGCAATGAGCTCTGGTGACCACTGGCCTCCTCAGGGTGACCAGACTCCTGCCACTGTTTGAGACCACTTCTAAAGTTGTCAGGGTCTTGGGGATGGCACTGTGACTTAGCTGGTAAAGCCGCCACCTACAGTGCTAGCATCTTCCACTGCTTTCTCAGGCTATAGCAGCGAGCTGGATCGGAAGTGGAACAGCCAGGAGCCCATATGAGATCCGGCACTGCAGGTGGTGGCTTTACCCGCTATGCCACAGCGCCGGCCCCTGCAGATGCTCTTTTCTTCAGGTCTCTCTCACACAAACATAGGCTAATTTCCAGCTTCCTAGCAAACAATTGCATGTGAATTAGGAAGAATTCTTCTTTTAAAAAATATTTTTTTATTTGAAAGGCATTGTTACAGAAGCAGAGGCAGAGAGGGCGATGTCTCCCATCTACTGGTTCACTTCCCAAATGACCACAACGGCCAGAGCTGGGCGATCCAAAGCCAGGAGCCTGAAGCTTCTTCCAGATCTTCCACGTGGGTGCTGGGGCCCAAGGACTTGGGCCATCTTCTACTGCTTTCCCAGGCCGTGGCAGAGAGCTAGATCGGAAATGGAGCAGCTGGGACTTGAACCTGTGGCACCCATATAGGATGCCGGCACTGCAGGCGGCTGCTTTAGCCGGCCCCAGGAAGAACTCTTGCCATCCCCAATAATGTCACCATGTACGCGCGGGTGTGGAGCAAAGTTTATCTTTTCTCGGCTTAAATTCGGACTGCTAGGGGCCAGGCACCATGAGGGCGGCCATGCCTTGCTTTTCGAAGTTCTTCATGGGTGCAGCAGTCCAGACGGCGGACCGAGTAAGGAATGAGACAAACTGTATTAGGATGATCTCGCACAGGCTTGTTTGGGGCAGAGCATGACCTCAGCTTCATTGGAGGGCTCAAATTTAGATACCGATACTATCTCCACTGTGTCAGCGGATCCTCTGACAACAGTAAGCAAACAGTTAACCTACAGCACAACGCAATCCTGCTTTGGGCGCTGCGTTTTGTTGTTCTTTTAATATGTGAGGAAGTAAAACAAACAGATCTTGTCCCACCCTCTGGGAGATCCGGGTTCAGAATCCCGCCACTAGCGCGGGGGCGGGGTAAAAGGGACAATGGCAGGGAGGAGCTGGGCCTGCCGGAATTTCGGGGGTGGCTTTGGGGCCACGGAGATTTCGGACCCGAGAGTGGGCTCAGGCCAGGCCGGGGGCGGGGCCTCAGGCGGCCCGAGTCAATCCTCCACCGCGCAGCCCCGCCACCGCCACCGGGAGCAGAGCGCGAGGCGGGGCCGCGGCGCAGTGGGCGGGGCCGCGGCGCAGTGGGCGGGCCGTCGCAAGGTCCCGGCTGCAGGAAGGAAGTTGGCGGGCCGGGAGAGCAGGTTGGTCCCGCGGAGAGGGCGGTGTGGGGCCGGAACCCTAGGTTCGACCTCGGCCATCTGCTCGCGCGCCGGAAGGGCGGGGCCCCGGCGTCCCAGGCTGCTGCGGGCGGCGGCGCGGAGGCGTTAGGAAGTGCTACCGCGGGCCCGCTTTTTGTTTCCTTTTTTTTTTTCTCCCCTCATCTCCAAAAGCGGATGGTGCAAGGGCAGGGAGACGACCTGATCCACCTACTGTTCCCCAAGACAGTGGCTAGGCGGGTTTCCATTCCTCCCTGGACCCCTCCCATTAAAGTGGGTTCAGGGTACGTTTGTATGGACGATTCTCCCCTATGAGGAATCATGGGGTTTAGCCGGTTTGAAGTGGGAGAGCCCTGAAGGAGCTCGGGGGTCCACCCACGAGGAACGCCTTTTCCATAACCCTTGGCATGCAGCCTGACAGATCTGGGAACCCAGAGTTGAGCCCACCCCCATCCTTTTCCCTACCCCCCACCCCCGAGTCGGGATGCTGGCCTGTGAACAGCTTCCGGCCCTGTTAGTTTCGCCCACGTTAGACGCCTTGCTTTCTGTGTCGCCTAGGTCCTAGGCCCACGGCCGTAGAGCCTTTTGGGGAAGCTGGATGCCTCAGCCCAGCCCGATGCAGTCTGAATCCAGCCCGTGTGAAGAGGAGACCCCTGCCCTCCTGTGGGGTTTGGATCCTGTGTTTCTGGCCTTTGCAAAGCTCTACGTCAGGGATATCCTGGCTATGAAGGAGTCCCGCCAAGTGCCAGGTATGTGGCTGGTCAGCCTGAGGAATGTCTTGGGCTGCAGACGCAAGACCTCTTTCTGCCCCAACGCTGCGGGCAGCTGGAGTTGAGGGCCTTACAGGAGAGCCTTCCCTGACACAGGCTTTGGATATAATCTAGCCTGGACCCTCGAATGAGATCATCTCTCTGCCATTAAAAAAAAAAAGAATAGATGCTTGGGGTGTTTGTACGGAGGAATATTTTCCTATGTATTCAGGGTCTTTCGGATTTAAAACTGCTCAGTTTTTCTCTGGGCCTGTGCCAGGCGTTGATTGTAGGCCTGGCCCCTTTCCTCACTGTGGCCCTGACCTGACCTGGCATGTGACTCACCTTCTGTAAAGCTTAGGTTTCTTTGCAAAGATGGGGATTAACCCTGCCCGATTTTCTAGCTGGGTTGTTTTTGTTCTGAGTTAGAATCAGAACAAGGTAAGGTCACTGCAGGGAAGGATACCATGTCTTGTGTCTTGTTTACTTTTGTAATTGCAGTCCATTTTTTTTGTTTGTTTTTTTGTTTTGACAGGCAGAGTGGACAGAGAAAGAGACAGAGAGAGAAAGGTCTTCCTTTTGCCATTAGTTCACCCTCCAATGGCCACCGTGGCCGGCACACCGCGGCCGGCACACCACGCTGATCCGAAGGCAGGAGCCAGGTGCTTCTCCTGGTCTCCCGTGGGGTGCAGGGCCCAAGCACTTGGGCCATCCTCCACTGCACTCCCTGGCCAGAGCAGAGAGCTGGCCTGGAAGAGGGGCAACAGGGACAGAATCCGGCGCCCCGACCGGGACTAGAACCCGGTGTGCCAGCACCACAAGGCGGAGGATTAGCCTATTGAGCCGTGGCGCTGGCCAATTGCAGTCCATTGTAATTCTAGTGCCTGATATAGAGTGGGCCTTTAGGATTGGCCTTTAGACCAGCTGTTAAGACACCATTTCTTGTATCCCAACACTTGGGTTTCTTTCTTTCCCTCCCTTCTTCCCTTTCTTCCTTCCTTCCTTCCTTGAAAGTCCGAGTTACACAGAGAGAGGAGAGGCAGAAAGAGAGAGAGGTCTTCCATTTGCTGGTTCACTCCCCAGTTGGCTGGAGCTGTGCCTATCTGAAGCCAGGCACCAGGAGCTTCTTCTGGGTGTCCCATGCTGGTGCCATCTTCTGTCGCTTTCCCAGACCATAGCAGAGAACGAGATAGGAAGAGGAGCAGCCGGGACCAAACCAGCGTTCGTATGGGATGCCGGACTGCAGGCGGTGACTTTACTCGCTACGCCACAGTGCTGGCCCCAACACTTGGGTTCTTTACAGAGCTTCAGCTTCAGACTCCAGCTTCTTGCTGTGCAGACTCTGGGAGTCACCAGTGATGGCTCAAGTAATTGGGGTCCCTGCCACCCATGCAGGAGTTGTGGATTAAGTTCCCAGCCCTCTGCTTCACCCTGTGAGGGCATATAGGGAAGGAACCAGTGGATGAAAGCACCCCCTTTCTTCTCAAAAGAAAAGTAATAGAAGATGGGGCTGGCGCTGTGGTGTAGTGGGAAAGGCGCCGCCTGCAGTGCCAGCATCCCATATGGGCGCTGGTTCAAGTCCCAGCTGCTCCACTTCTGATCCAGCTCTCTGCAATGGCCTGGGAAAGCAGTGGAAGATGTCCCAAGTGCTTGGGCCCCTGCACCCACATGGGAGACCTGGAAGAAGCTCCTGGCTCCTGGCTTTGGATTGGCACAGCTCGGGCCATTGTGGCCAACTGAGGAGTGAACCAGCAAATGGAAGACCTCTCTCTCTCTCTCTCTCTCTCTCTCTCTGCTTCTCCTTCTCTCTCTGTGTAACTCTGACTTTCAAGTAAAATAAAATCTTCAAAAAAAAAAAAAAAGTAACTGAAGCCATGAAACATAAATGTAAAGTTTAAAACAAAAACCAGAAGCCAAAAAACTTGTGTTACAGTGGTGGTTACTAAAGACAGGCTCCTAATGCCTGAAACTGTAACATAGTTTGGGGGGTACATTTGAATAATGGGCGTAGTTGTGAGTCTTCAGGGTTGGCTGTGCTGTCTGAGAAGTTTGTTAAACTCTGCCTTATTGAGTGAAGCTTTGCAGGCCAGGGCTCTCTGGAGAGCAGCCGTGAGTCAGAAGCCGCCGAGAACCTCCAGCGTGCACAGTTTTCATGAGATGAGCCTTTGTGTTTCCAGTTGTGTGTACAGATGGACTTGGCTGACCTTACACTAAAGCCTTCTGTAGAGATTTTCACCATACCTTTATTTCCTAATTATTGTTGAAAATGGTCTGGGTTTTTTGTTGTTGTTGTTGTTGTTTTTGCCCTTGGAAAGCAGCCAACATCATCATTTCTGTTTTCCAGAACAATCTGGTATTCATCACAGCTCATCTCAGGAAGACATTAATTCACACCAAATGCCAGCCTTGGTTAAAAAGCTGTGGGTGTGCAAGCAAACATTAGGGACATGACAGGGGCTTAATGCTTCCTGAGGGCAAAGGGCTTTATGATGTATTAAAAACAAACCAGTGGAAGCTGGCGCTGGTGATCTTTGCTTCGTCGCGGGTAAGAATGTTTCAGATGTGTCTTTAAAAAATGCAACCTCATGATTAGATCAGACATCAGCCATAATTTTATAGCATGAACTTCTTGACTGTGTGAGGGATCTGAGGAGTGGAAATGCTACTAGTCTGGGTTTATAGTTTGTTGTTGTTGGGTTTGGTGTAGCATAAAGAGAAAACTGTTGACCACATAACATTTAAAATTGTTTAAACAGCAAAGAATATGTTATTCAAAATAACAAAAGGTAAAAAAAAAAAATTAACCAAAAACTGACAAAACTTGAAACAGATGTGTCTTGATGACTTTAGCTGCCCTTTGTCTTTGGTCCTTGGAGTGTCCAGGCGGCCCCTTGAACCGAACCTGAGTTTATGCTAATGAGGTGCCTTTTGCTGGGCCCCTGGATAGTTTCAGAATGAGCCGGGTCCTTTCAGCCCATTCCCTTGGTAGGACAGCAGATTGAGCAGGTTCAGTTTGTCATGCCCACATTAGGAAACCCCTATAGAACTCTGGATGCCGAGGCCTGGAGGAGCTCCCCTGGTTGGTCATCAGACACTGGTGATACATCTGGAATACGCAGAAGCTTTGTATTTGGACCCTCCGTACCTTGCCCTGTGCTGCCCATTTAGGTGGTCCTGATTCATACCTTTTATTATGAAACCATAAATGTGTAGCACCTTCCTGATTTCTGTGAGTGGGTCTAGAATATTATCAAACCTGAAGGTGTTGTAGGGGCCCCCACTTGGTCAGAAGTGCAAGGGGCTTGAGGTCTGGTGACTGAAGTGGGGGCAGTTTTGTGGGAGACCATGCTCTTAACCTGTGAGGTTTGACCTAACTGCATAGTTAGTGACAGAATTCAGCTCCCCTAACTCTTTGAATTTGGGATTAAACTAATAAAAATATTGTAGAGTTTGATAGAAATAGTGGTGGTTTTTTTGTTTTATTTTTTGACAGAGTTAGACAGTAAGAGAGACTGAGAGAAAAGTCTTCCTTCCGTTGAATCACTCCCCAAATGGCCGCTACAGCTGGCACGCTGTGCTGATCCGAAGCCAGGAGCTGGGTGCTTCCTCTTAGTCTCCCATGGGGGTGCAGGCCGCAAAGACTTGGGCCATCTTCCACTGCCTTCCCAGGCCACAGCAGAGAGCTGGACTGGAAGAGGGTCAACCAGGACAGAACCGGCATCCCAACCGGGACTAGAACCCGTGGTGCCGGTGCCGCAGGTGGAGGATTAGCCTAGTGAGCTGTGGTGCCGGCCAGTGGTTTTTTAAAAAAGATTTATTTATTTGTTTGAAAGTCACAGAGAGAGAGGACGAGACTGAGAGAAAGAGAGAAATCTTCTATCTGCTGGTTCACTGGTAGCAGTGACCAGGACTGGGCCAGACAGAAGCCAGAAGTCAGGAGCTTCTTCTGGGTCTCCCATGTGGGTGGCAGTAGCCCAGGCACTTGCTGTTTTTCCTAGGCCATAAGCAGGGAGCTGGATTGGAAGTAGAGGAGCCAAGACTGTAACCTGCATCCATATGTGTGGGGAGCAACTCGGACTAGACTAAGTTACTGGAATTAAGACTTATTCTATGCATCTGCTCTCCCACAATATGGCGCTGGGAGAGGAGAAAACAGCTTCTACACAGCTGCCTCCAGTTCAGCCAATAAACTGTAGGACTTGCTCCTGATTGGAGAGCAGCGTGCTCGGCGTGTGGGCAGCCGAGTTAGGATTGACGGAGGAGGACTATAAAGGAGGAGAGAGACGGCATGCACCAGGAACATCTAAGAGGAACATCTAAGGGGAACACCTGTGCAGCCCCCGAGAGAGCCGGCCGGCGGTGTGCCGCTCCCCCGCGGAAGTGGGGAATGTGGCAGGGGGAACTGCCCTTCCACGGAGGTGGAAGGGTCGGTAGCCAACCCGGGAAGAACCAGCAGCAAACCCGGGGAGGGCCGAGCAGACGAAAGAACAGCGCAGGGTTCAGTGTCGTTCCTCCACGAAGAGGGGGAGCGACACATATGGTATGCAGTCATTGCACGCAGCAGCTTTACCCGCTATGCCACAACACCGGCCCACAAATAGTGGTGGTGTTTAGATTTAGTTTTCTGTTTTGTTTTCATTTTAAAAAATCAGTTTATAAGAATAACATCCCCATAACATACAGAAACAGCCTTATGGTTTTAAATATCTCTGTCATATCAAACATTAATGGTGAGTTAAATAAAGCTGAGTCTGTGATTTAAATCAACATCCAGTACTTACACTGATGGTAGCTGGCGCAGTGGAACAGAGTGATGACCAGTTGGCCCTCCATGTGCATGAGTTCTGCATCTGCAGATTCAGCCAACTCTGGATCAAGAATATTTTGTGAAAAAAATCAAGTCTGTGCTGACCATGTACAGAATCTTTCCCTTGTCATTGTTCTTTTACCAGCTAAGTAGCATTTATATTGTGTTATATATTATAAGTGATCTAGAGATGGTTTAAAGTAAATGGGAGAATTGTGTATATTATAGGCAAACACTATGCCATTTTAAATAAGGGACTTGAACATAAATGGGTTTTGGTGTGGGCAGGAGATCCTGGAAACAATCCTCTTGAATTACTGAGTGAGGACTATATGCACAAGAATTATATATTTTTTTTTTTTGAAAAATACTATCTTAAGCATTTTAATGCTAGCAAACTTCAGGAGAAGCAATTATTGCAAAGGTTAAATAACAGTTCAATTAAAAAGGGATCAGTCCAAAGTACTTTCAGAGCCAGGAGCTTCTTCCGGGTCTCCCATGTAGGTGCAAGGACCCAAGCACTTGGGCCTCCTTCCACTGTTTTCCCAGGTGCATTAGCAGGGAGCTTGATCGGAAGTGGAGTAGCTGGGACTCAGCCAGCACCCATGTTGATGCTGACCCTGCTGGCAGAGGCTTGACCTTCTACACCACAGCACGGGCCCTCCGGAGTACTTTTAAAAAGAGGAAATAGGCAAATGCCTTGCTGTGGTTGTGGATGTTTGGGGTCAGCTGCTTGAAATCTGAATTGAAACTGCCTGAGGCTGTTGATCCTTAATCCTCCTCTTCCTGGGGACCTGGTAATCCAGGCTGCCCACTAGCGCTTTTGGGTGCTGAGGGCTGCCTGTGGAGAAACAAGAGCCCAAGGGCCCCTTGGAAAGACCAGAGCATGAACTTGATGTCAGCCAGTATTGGCCTGTTGTGATCATTTTCTTATCTTATCAAACTTTCACAGTGACAGAGCTGCCATCCAACTGTCTTTTGCACTCTTCTGTTACAGAGTCTTGGACTGATAGGATAATGTGTTCTGTTTGCTTATTTTTCCGTGTCTTTAGCCATTTTCTTGTAGGGGTGTGCATTTGATACACAGAGTTCGTGTTCCCATGTACACGGAGAAGTTTCTTCCATATTTCTAAGCAGTATATTTCCTCCTCCGCCAGTTTGCTCTGAGGTTTTTATTCAAACCATCTGTTATTTTCTTCTGCAGTTCTCCATTGTTCTGTGCTGCCTTTAAGGTTTTTTTTTTTTTTCGTCACTTGGGCTTAAAAGGATTTTGTTGCATATTGAAGTAACCATGTCTGTCCTTGAAGACAGGCCGTTGTCCGCATGATGAAAGCTTGAGGGGCTTGCTTTTTTTTTTCGAGTAAGTATTTTTATTAGGTTTTTCAGATACATTTTAAAAATTTGGATTTCCAATGAGTTTGTAACATCGGAGGACAGGTGACTTGGAGATGTGGTTGTCTTGTGCCATCACTCCAGTCTTCTCACTGCCTTTTCCTGACCTCAACCCAGCTAGAACACCTTTTGTCCAGCTCTGTTCCCCATCTTAAGGGTCTTAACATTCCATGGGTTTTCTGTGGAGCCACTTTGTCCCCCATCCCCTGTCAATCCATGTGTGCCTGGATGAGAGTAGCTCTCCTTTAGGGGTGACACTGATCCAAACCCTTTCCCTCATGAGGCACTGGTGTGTTCAGCTTGGGGCCCTCACGGTGACTCTGGAGATGGTCTCCAAACTACCAAGTCTCCTTCAGATGCATGCCTCTCCCAAGGGAGAGGGTCCAGCAGGTGGCTGCTTTACCTGCTAACCCTTTCCATGAACTGTTTATGCACCCTCATAGAATTTTTTTGTTTTTTGTTTTTTTGTTTGTTTGTTTGTTGTTTTTTGATAGGCAGAGTGGACAGTGAGAGAGACAGGGAGAAAGGTCTTCCTTTTTTTGGTTGGTTCACCCCCCAATGGCCGCTGCAGCAGTGTGCTGAGGCCGCTCCAAAGGCAGGAGCCAGGTGCTTCTCCTGGTCACCCATGGGGTGCAGGGCCCAAGCACTTGGGCCATCCTCCACTGCACTCCTGGGCCGCAGCAGAGAGCTGGCCTGGAAGAGGAGCGACCAGGACAGGATCCGGCGCCCCGACTGGGACTAGAACCCGGTGTGCCGGCACCACAGGCGGAGGATTAGCCTATTGAGCCGTGGTGCCGGCCCTCCCTCATAGAATTTTAAAAAGAGAAGTTTTCTTTTTTATTTTTTTAAAAGATTTATTTATTTGAAAGGCAGTGTTACGGAGAGGCAGAGGCAGAGAGAAAGAGGTCTTCTATCTGCTGGTTCACTCCCCAGTTGGCGGCAACAGCCGGAGCTGGGTCTATCTGAAGCCAGGGAGCCAGGAGCTTCTTCCGGGTCTCCCAAGGGTGCAGGGTCCCAAGCACTTGGACCATCTTCTACTGCTTTCCCAGGCCATAGCAGAGAGCTGGATCAGAAATGGAGCAGTCAGTTCTCGAACCAGCGCCCATATGGGATGCTGGCACTGCAGGCATTAGCTTTAACTGCTAAGCTACAGTGCCAGCCCCAAAGAGTTGTTGAGTTGTTAATCTGTTGGCCATGGCTGGCACTGTGGCGCAGCAGGTTAAAGCCCTGACCTAAAGTGCTGGCATCCCATATGGGTGCCAGTTCTAGTCCCAGCTGCTCCTCTTCCAATCCAGCTCTCTGCTATGGCCTGGGATAGCAGTAGAAGATGGCCCAAGTACTTGGGCCCCTGCATCCACGTGGGAGACCCAGAAGAAGCTCCTGGCTCCTGGCTTCAGATTGGCACAACTCCATCCATTGCGGCCATCTGGGGGGTGAACCATCGGATGGAAGACCTCTCTCTCTGTCACTACCTCTCTCTATAACTCTGTCTTTCAAATAAATAAAAAAGTGAGTCTTTATAGAAAAAAATCTCTTGGCCTCAGGGTATTTTGTAATCTAAGTATGACCTACTTTTTTTTTTTTTTTAAAGTGCTCTTACTACTTCATAGAAATTATGACTGCTTGGAAAAGCACTAGTTTAGAAGCAAAAGAAGTCTTTCTGTAGTTTCCTCTATTTCCTTTTCCGGTTGCTCAAAACACAGTGCTGTTTTTGGTCCCATCACTTGATGACAGTTTTCACACCCCTGTGAGCCTTCTATATGGAGGTACACTTCATTTTCACAGGTGGAAATCAGCTTCACCAACTCTAGAAGGCAGTCAATATTGGTTTTCTTTCCTGCATTAGAACAAGTTTATTTCTTTATTTAAAAGATTTATTTATTTATGTCTTTGAAAGGCAGAAAGAGAGAGAGGAAGAGACAAAGAGATCTCCTAGCTGCTATGAGTGAACTCTCCGGCTGGCCGCAACAGCCAGGACTGACTCAGGCTGAAGCCAGGAGCTGGGAACTCCATTGGGGTCTCCCACATGGGTAGTAGGGGCCCAAGTGCCTGGACCATCTTTTACGCCTTCCAGATGCATTATGAGGGAGCTGGATCAGAAGCGGGGGAGCCGGGACTCAAACTGTGGGATGCCAGTTGGCTTCCTAGAAGCTATAGCCAAGCTTTCTAATTATGACCCTTGACAAAAAGACATCTGGATTTTGTGGGGCCGGAATCTAAGCAAAAAGGACACCACTGATTATTGACCTCCACGTCCCCCCGGACAGTTAACATTTAATGAAGCAGAAAATGTGACTGTACATTCAATGAATGACTTTATCATTTTGTTTTTAATTTTAGGTATATTTTTTTACAATGGGCATCCAATAAAACAAGTAGATATCTTGGGAACTGTCATTGGAGTGAGAGAAAAAGATACTTTCTACAGTTATGGAGGTAAGAAGAGTTGTGTCTGAACGTGAGTTTATGTTGAAGGCCTCCACTTAGCTGAAGGTTGGATTGTAAGCAGCCTCAGGCTTTTGGAGCAGTTGGGATCTGCACAAAGCTCATGCACTTTGCTCCCCGGGGAGCCATGCCTAATCCCAGACAGGCCTGGGTGTAGAGTGGGGCCCCAGGTGGGAATGATACTGATGAGTTCCTTAAAGGGATAGATGTGGGGAGTAGGAGGTGGAAGAGAGAAAATCCAGCAGTCTAGGGTCACCAGCTAGCAGGGCAGGCACCTGATACCTGAGGGCATAGCTAAGAATAACACAGGGTAGTGATATGTTTGTAGTGATACCTTTCAAAAGAAACCAGATTAATGTTGAAGTAGACTCTTTTTTTTTTTTTTTTTTTGACAGGCAGAGTGGACAGTGAGAGAGAGAGACAGAGAGAGAAAGGTCTTCCTTTGCCGCTGGTTCACCCTCCAATGGCCGCCGCTGCAGCCGGCGCACCGCGCTGATCCTGGCAGGAGCCAGGAGCCAGGTGCTTTTCCTGGTCTCCCATGGGGTGCAGGGCCCAAGCACCTGGGCCATCCTCCACTGCACTCCCTGGCCATAGCAGAGAGCTGGCCTGGAAGAGGGGCAACCGGGACAGAATCCGGCGCCCCAACCGGGACTAGAACCCGGTGTGCCGGCGCCGCAAGGTGGAGGATTAGCCTATTGAGCCACGGCGCCGGCTTGAAGTAGACTCTTTAAGAAGACAGGAACCTATGAAAAATGGCTTTAAAGATTGAGGAGTTAGCCAGCGCCACAGCTCACTAGGCTAATCCTCCGCCTTGTGGCGCCGGCACACCGGGTTCTAGTCCTGGTTGGGGTGCCGGATTCTGTCCCGGTTGCCCCTCTTCCAGGCCAGCCCTCTGCTGTGGCCAGGGAGTGCAGTGGAGGATGGCCCAAGTGCTTGGGCCCTGCACCCCATGGGAGACCAGGAAAAGCACCTGGCTCCTGGCTCCTGCCATCGGATCAGCGTGTTGTGCCGGCCGCAGCGCGCCGGCCGCGGTGGCCATTGGAGGGTGAACCAACGGCAAAAAGGAAGACCTTTCTCTCTCTCTGTCTCTCTCCCTGGCGCTGTCCATTGTGCAAATCAAAAAAAAAAAAAAAAAAAAAAAAAAGAAACCAAATGAAGAGTTTTTGTGTTTTTCCTACCAGGGAATTGCCAAAGCGTGATTTTACTTACTTTTTTTGAAGAATTATTTTATTTTATTTGAAAGACAAAGTTACAGAGAGAGGTAGAGCCAGCGAGAGGTCTTCATTCTGCTAGTTTACTCCCCAAATGACTGCAACGTCCAGAGCTGAGCTGATCCAAAGCCAGGAGCCAGGAGCCAGGAGCTTCTTCGGGGTCTCCCACCTGGGTGCAGGGGCCCAAGTACTTGAGCTATCTTCTACTGCTTTCCCAGGCCATAGCAGAGAGCTGGATTGGAAGAGGAGCAGCCAGGACTTGAACCAGTACCCATATGGAATTCCAGTGCTGCAGGCTGGGTCTTTAAACTGCTGTGCTACTGTGCCACAGCACTGGCCCCGCCAAAGCATGATTTTAGTGTAACGGGTCTTGATTTTCTTCATGGAGTTTGATATAAGCATGTTTTTTTTTTTTTTTTTAACTCTTTTTTTTTTTTTTTTTCTTTTTTTTTTTGTGACAGGCAGAGTGGACAGTGAGATAGAGAGACAGAGAGAAAGGTCTTCCTTTTGCCGTTGGTTCACCCTCCAATGGCCGCCGCGGCTGGCGCGCTGCGGCCGGCGCACCGCGCTGATCCGATGGCAGGAGCCAGGAGCCAGGTGCTTTTCCTGGTCTCCCATGGGGTGCAGGGCCCAAGCACCTGGGCCATCCTCCACTGCACTCCCTGGCCACAGCAGAGGGCTGGCCTGGAAGAGGGGCAACCGGGACAGAATCCGGCGCCCCGACCGGGACTAGAACCCGGTGTGCCGGCGCTGCTAGGCGGAGGATTAGCCTAGTGAGCCGCGGCGCCGGCCCTGATATAAGCATGTTAATACACGACCTTGTGCAACTCCAAGACTTTCTGAGGTTAAGAGGCTGAGCTAGATATTTTTGGCTATATTTGACATTGTCACTTCTTGTGGTTTGCCTTGGATTTATACTCTGTTCTACTTGATGAAAGATAGAAGGCAGTTGAACTTTGTGACCAAGAACTTTGTGACCAAGAACAATTTGTTGACAGTCTGTGCAGGATTTTTAGCTTACAGATACAAGAATTGTATTTTCTCAACATGTATTCATTTTCCTGAAGGTGATTGTCTTCTGGTTAGAGATAAGCTCTCTCATGCCTTCTGCTTTTCCCAGCATAGTTTTTAGAAGAATTTTTCTTTTCTTTTTTTAATGTTTATGTATTTTCATCTACTTGAAAAGCAGAACAACAGAGAGAGATATCTCCCACCTACTGGTTCACTCCCCAGTGCCTGCACTGGGCCAGGCCAAAGCTAGGAGTTGGAACCCCACCTGGGTTCCCTATATGGGTAACAGGGGCTAAAGCACTTGAATCCTCACTGGCTGCCTCCCAGGATGCATTTGCAGAAGGCTCGGTCGGAAGCACAGTAGCCTGGAATCAAACCGGCATTCTAGTGTGGGATGCAGGCATCTCAAATAGTGGCTTAGCCACTGCGCTACAATGCGTGCCTCTTAAAACTTCAAAATAAATGATCTTGTCATGCCTCTCAGACTGAATCTCTTCTCTGCTGTATTTCATCAAAGCCATGGTCCTATTTTTCTCTAGACAATTCAGCAAACATTTACTAAGTTTCTACAGTATACCCAGCTGTGGACAAGTACACTGTCTGTAGGACACTAAGTTACTTCCTCTGCAAGTACCAGTGATGAAATAATAGTGTCTTGCAGCATTCAGAGCACTTTTACACCATCATTGCACGTTATTCTCCCCTAATCTTTTGAAATGGCAAAAACAGATTCTCTTTCCGCCTTGTAGATGAGAAAACTGTTCCTGTAACTTGCACAAGTTTCCACTGATGAAGGATTGTGGGTCCTTTTTCCTATTCACTGGCTGCAGTGTGCTCTGTAGATTCACGTAACTCAGTTTTTTTTTTTTTTAAAGATTATTTATTTATTTGAAAGGCAGAGAGAGAGAGAGATCGATCGATCTTCCCTCTGTTGGTTCCCTACCTAAGGACCTGCAACAAACGGAGCTGGACCAGGCCAAAGTCAGGAGACCGAACTCAAGTCGAGTCTTCCACGTGGGCAGTAGGGGCGCAGTCACTCAAGCCATTATCCACTCTTTCCAAAATGTGTTAGCAGGAATTCTGGGTCCGAAGGATAGCAGCCAGAACTTGAATTGCTACTCCGATATGGGATGTGGACATCCCAAGAGGCTTAACCCACTGCATCACAATACCTGCCCCTTGTATAGCTGAATTGGATTTTTCGTGTACCTTCCTTTTCCTCATCTCCTTCCTTAGCCAGTCCTTTAGCCCAATCCCTGAGTCAGTTACATCTGGTTTTTAGTTCACAGTTTTTCAGATCAAATAAATGAGGCTATTTGAGGACTTTAGTCCTGACCCTGGACCCAGACCAGATACTAGCCCTATGACCTGAGGGGGTTTCCCTGATTCCCTTCTCCCATTCTAAAAAGATTGAGGCCAGGGGGCAGCACTGTGGCATAGTAGGTTAAGCCTTCGCCTGCAGTGCCAGCATCCCATATGGACACTGATTCGAGTCCTAGCTGTTCCACTTCTGATCCAGCTCTCTGTTAATGTGCCTGGGAAAGCAGCAGAGGATGGCCCAAGTGCTTGGGCCTCTACACCCACGTGGGAGACCTAGATGAGGCTCCAGGCTCTTGGCTTTGGCCGGGGCTTTGCCAGCCCATTGTAGCCATTTAGGTAGTGAACCAATGGATGGAACATAGAGATGCCTCTCTCTCTCTCCCTCTCCCTCCCTCACTCTCTCTCTCTCTCTCTCTCCCCCTCCCTCCCTCCCTCCCTTTCCCCTTCCCTCCCTCCTCCTTTCTCAGTCTCTCTCTCTCTCTCTCTCTCTCTCTCTATATATATATATATATATCCTCTCTTCTCTCTGCCTTTCAAATAAATAAATAAATCTTAAAAAAAAAAAAAAAAGATTGAGGCCATATGTTTGACTCTTCCCCAAGAAGAATTTCCTGCCGAGTGGCTGTCATGAAGGCATGGGAACTGAAAAACATGTGAATGTTGAAGTAACTGAGAGGAGAAATGCTTTTGCCACTTTAATTCCTGTGTGACCTGTTCTCACAGAGAGCTACCTCCCTCCCTGCTGTCCTTAGGCCCAGTGTGGCTCCTGGGCCACCTGCCAGGCAGCCACTCCCGGCTCTCCTCGGTCCTGCTCCCCCTTGTTCACTTCAGGCCTGTGCTGGGGGTGCTTCCTGCCCATACTGACTTGTCTCACGGCTGAAAGAGAAGGCAGGCAGCTCAGGGAGGACGTTCCTCTTCCAGGGCATTCCAGCAGCTGGACTGCAAGTCTGTGAGGGGAGGGAAGCCAGGGTTGCCTTGCCTGGAGTGCACAGAGCACCTGGCAGCAACTTGAGTTCAGGCCTAGGATCATGGGAGGCTGATGTTCAGGGGCTAAGTGTGTTGACTAAAGCTTGTCAGCTGGTCAGAGCAGTGGAATACCTAGAGATGTCATACTTCTTTTTTAAGAATTTTTTATTTTATTTATTTGAAAGGCAGAGTTGCAGAGAGAGAGAGAGACAGAGAGAGCTTCCATCTGCTGGTTCATTCCCCAGATGACTACAATGAGTAGAGCTGGGCCCTTCCATGTCCAGAACCTTCTTCCAGGCCTCCCACTTGGGTACAGGGGCCCAAGCACTTGAGCCATCTTCCACTGTTTTCCCAGGCACATTAGCAGGGAACTGGATCAGAAATGGAGCACCCAGGACACCATCCGGTGCCCATATAGGATGCTGGCATCACAGGCAGCAGCTTTACCCACTATGCCATAACTATAGCTGCAGATTCCATATTTATAAACATGTAGGTCATTTCCACTTTTCAATATTATAAGTAATATGGGACCAGCATTGTGGTGTAGTGGGTAAAGCCGCTGCCTGCTCTGTTGGCGTCCCATATAGGCATCAGTTTATGTCTTGGCTGCTCTACTTCTGATCCAGTTCCCTGCTAATGACCTGGGAAAAGCAGTGGAAGATGGCCCAAGTATCTGGGCCCCTGCTACCCACGTGAGAGACATGGACAAAGCTCTTGGCTCTTGGTTTTAGCCTGGCCCAATGCTAGTCATTGCGGCCATATGGGTAGTGAACCAGTGGATGGAAGATCTCTCTTGCTCTCTGTCTCTGCTGGCATCATAGGCAGCAGTTTTACCCACTATGCCACAACTGTAGCTGTAGATATATGCAGCTTGTATAAGGCTGTTCATTGCAGTAATCTTTTTAATATTTTAAAAAATTCTTATTTTATTTGAAAGGCAGAGTTACAGAGAGAGAAGAGGTAGAGGAGGAGATCTTCCATCCACTGGTTCAGCCCTCAGATGGCTGTAACAGCTGGGGCTGTGACAGACTGAAGCTAGGAGCCAGAAGCTTTTTCCGGGTCTCCCAAGTGGGTGCGGGGGCTCAAGTGCTTGGACTTTCTTCCGTTGCTTTCCTGAGTGCATTAGCAGGGAGCTGGATCAGAAGTGGAGCAACTAGGACTCCCACAGGTGCCCATGTGGGATGCCAGCACTGCAGGCCGTGACTTAACCTGCTGTACCACAGCGCCGGCCCTGTACTTGCTCAATTTTGCTTTCAGATAAATTACTGGATATAATTGCTGAGTCAACAGATATTTACCTCTGAAAATTTGATGCACATTTCTAAACTTGCCCTTTAGAAATTTGGTATTACTTTATAGCCCCACTGATAGCATATGATAATGTCAGTATTTTTTTTAATACGAAAGGTAGGCTTCTTTTTTTTAATATTTATTTTTGTTTATTTGAAAAGCAGAGAGAGATTGAGGTTGAGATCTTCCATCTGCTGGTTCATTCCCCAAATGAATCCAGGAGCTCCGAATTCCATCTATGGCCAGGATATAATCTGGTTAGAAGGCCCTAAGCCTTAAGCCATCATCTGTTGCTTTCCAGATTGCATTAGCAAGAAGCTGGATTGGAATTGGAGGAGCTAGGACTTGAACTTGCACTCTGATAAGGATGTGGGCATCTCCAGTGGCAGCCCAACCTGCTGTACCACTACACCTGCCCTAGTATTTTTAATATTTGTCAATCTCTAATAGTTGATAAGTTTTTATATTTGCTTCTTTTATTCATTGGAACTAGTGAATGGAACATATTGGGAAATATATTTATTGGCCATTTTTGTATCTCACATAAATTACATATTCTTTTTCTTTGCCACTTTTCCTTTTTGTGTTCTTAGTCTTTTTCCTATTAATTTATATAAGCTTTTTATATATTAAGGTGCTAACCCTTATTATATGTATCTGGTATCAGTTTTCTGATAGTGAAACATAATGGACTTCTTTTTTTAAAATTAATTTATTTATTTGAAAGGCAAAGTTACAGAGATGCAGAGGCAGAGAAAAAGGTGTTTTCTATCCACTCCCCAAATGGCTGCTACGGCTGGCACTGGGCAGATCTGAAGTCAGGAGCCAGGAAATTCTTCCAGGTCTCCCACATGGGTGCAGGGGTCCAAGCCCTTGGGCTGTGTTCCACTGCTTTCCCAGGCACATTAACAGGGAGCTGGATCAGAAGTGGAGCAGCTGGGACTTGAACCTATGCCCTTATGGGATGCCTACATTATAGATTGTGGCTTTACCCACTGTGCCACAGCACTGGCCCCTGGATTGTTTTTTTTTCCCTAAATGATAGTTCTGATTTTTAGGTTCTGCTTAAAGAAATCTTTCCCTACCACCTGTTAGCCCAAGGTTAAAGTATTCACCCATATCTGTTCTTATCATCTTGAATTTACCTATTTTAAATAAAATGAAACCCATCTAGAATTTATTTTAATATAAAAAGTGTTCTTGGGTTCATTGTTTCAATACAGATTTACCTTATATTTATTCTGTATTTTGTGTGCTATTACAGCAGTCTAGTTGATGTGTTCTGTTCTGTTTTGTTTTAATGATGAGGCCTTTGACCCTCTGCTTATCAATCTCTGTTCTGAGTTTGTCAGAAATTAGGTGAAGGAAGGGCAGGCATTTATCTCAGTAGCTAAAGTACCTGGGTTTGATTCCTGGTTGGCTCCTTTCTCCAACTTCCTGCCAATACAAGGCCCTAAGGAGATAGTAATAATGCTCAACTGATCGGATCCCTGCCACCCATGTGGGAGACTTGTATTGTGTTTCTGGCTCCTGGCTCTAGCCATGGCCCAGCCTTGAGTCTTGTGGGCATTAGGGGGTGAACCACTGGATGAGAGTTCTCTGTTTCTCTCCCCTAACCCACTTGTGTGTGTGGATACGTATATGTGTGTGAGTGAGATTCTCTATGCCTTTTAAATAAATAATTTTTTTAAAGATTTATTTATTTGAGAGAAGAGAAAGATTTATTTATTTGAGAGAGATCTTGCATTCACTGGTCCACTCCCCAAATGGCCGCAATGGCCAGAGGAGGGCCAATCTGAAGCCAGGAGCTTCTTCTGGGTCTCCCACGTGGGTGCAGGGGCCCAAACAGTTGGACCATCTTCCACTGCTTTCCCAGGCCATAAGCAGAGAGCTGGATTGGAAGTGGAGCAGCTGGGACTCAAACCAGTGTCTATATGGGATGTTGGCACCGTGGCAGAGGCTTAGCCGGCCCCTCACATAAATACATTTTTAAAAAGCTTTTAAGAGGCTGGTGCTGTGGCATAGCAGGGTAAGCCATTGCCTGTAGTGCCGGCATCCTGTATGGACACTGGTTCAATTCCCAGCTGCTCTACTTCCAATCTTGCTCCCTGCTAATGTACCTGGGAAAACAGTGGAAGATGGTCCAAGTGCTTGGGCTCCTGCACCCACCTGTGAGGCTCAGATGAAACTCTTGGCTCTTGACTTTGGCCTACCCCAGCCCTGGTCATTGCGGCCATTTGGGGAGTGAACCAGTGGATGGAAGATCTCTCTCCTCTTTCTTTCTGTCTCTCCCTTCCTTGCTGTAACAGACTTTCAAATAAATAAATAAATCCTTTATAGAAAAAAAAAACTTTTAAAATAATTTAGGCAAAGAGAATGCCTACCATCCCATAGTATGCATCCCAGATAAATCTACAGGTACAGGTCCACCAGTACAAGTCCAAGTGTCATGGGAATTACTTGATTTTTTTTTTTTTTTTTTTTTGCCACTAGTATTAAAACAAGCCAGACCAGTATTTTTTCTATGGCCAGGATATAATTATTTTCTATTATGAAAAGAAATCTGTGTCCTTATATGTTATGCTTGGCTTTCCTTACATCCCCTGCAGTGCTAAGGGCTGGGCAGGAGCCCTTCCACAAAGAGAAGCCCAAGCCAAAGGACTTGGAATGCTTTGTAAGAGAAATGCTGACAGAAGGCAGTGCCCTAAAGCGCTTGTGCCTCCAACCTCAGACTGTGAGATTCTGTTTCAGGGTGGGGAGAAAGGCTGATTTTGTATGTGAGCATTCATTGAGATTTTCATGTTTACCTTCTGGAAGACACCATCTTCAGCAGACAGCTGTACACGAGAGTCATTAGTCCTTGAGGCAGGCTAAGTGGGTGGTGAATGCACCCCTCTGGGGCTATGCAGTCACACTGGCCTGTGTAAGCAAGCAGTTCATGCTGGTGTGTGCTGAGACTGTTCTAAAGGTGGAAGGGCGTTTGCTAATGGGATTTCCCTTCCAAGCTATGGAAAAATTCATCTTTCGGTGTGGCTGATGCAGTGAAGACAAGTTTACAATCCATGCTCAAACCTGCGTTCTCCCCTCCATACTTCTCTTGCAGTGGACGACAGCACTGGTGTTATCAACTGCATGTGCTGGAAAAAGTCGAGTAACACCGAGTCCTCATCAGGTAATCGTGTTTGTCATGTTCTTCACTTCCCAGCCAAGCAGTGGGTTTTCCTTAAGAATGCTCATCCGATTGGCTGGAGGGCTCAATTTTCCTGTTTATCCACTGGTAAATTACATTGGTGGCTTTCCTGACAGCTGATGCTGCGGGGGAGCCAGTGCTTTTCCTTCTGCCATCTCTTTAGTGTGTGTTTCCTTCTAGGCCCACGGGAGTGGGGGAGGGTTCCTGGGGGTTCCTGCAGTTCTTTTTTACCATGACAGTGATTACCGAAGTCACAATGGTTTAGCCTAATTACCAGTCAGCTCTGAATCCTTGACCAAAGGAGATTTTTGTTTTTTATTTTATTTTTATTTTTTTTTCAAAGGAGATTTTTGAAGACTGCTCCTCCCACATGGCTGTCAGTGACTTCTAGGCCACTATAATCTAGCTTTTCTAAATTCTATAATATGTTCAAGCAAATATCAGCAAACCTGAGAATGAAAAGAAGGTAGGGTAGGATTCCCTTGGAAACTGAAAAAGAAACTTAAAGTTGTATATCCAGCATGTTGACTATAACTGTAACGACATTTGGTGTTACTTGAATGTATCTTAGTTATCTTTGGGTGCTTTTTAAAATTAAATTCATTTAGAATTTGGCCATTAGTTTCATGTCACCAGTATTTCCCGTTCCTAATTTTGGAACATCTAAATCGTTGGCTCTGAGTTGCTTAGGAAGCTTTGTAGATAAATTCCAGGGAGACAACAGGTTTTTAAGTGGGTATCTCCCAGGCAAGAGTAAACCTACAAAGACAATCAGTGATCTTGGTGTTCATACCTGTCTGGGGTGTGTGTTTGTGCTGTGCTGCTACACAAGTACATGAGACTGGATAACTGATAAGGAACAGAAATTTATTTCTCCTCTACTTCTGGATTCCGGGAAGTCCCAGATCCGGGCACTGGCAGGTTTGGTGTCTGGTGAGGACTGCTCTCCACTTTCAGGATGGTGCCTTGAATGCTGCATGTCCATGCTGTTCCTCACCTGGTGGAAGAGATGAGGCCCATTCCTCAAGCTATTTTATAGTGGTGGTAACCCATTCAGAAGGGCACAGCCTTCATGACCTAACCACCTCCCATTGGGCCCTATCTCTTAACACCACTGCATTGGGGACTAAGTTTCCAACATGCAAGTGGTGTTGTTGTTTTGGGGGGCAGGAGGGAGGTAGAGTTACAGAGAGAGAGAGAGAGAGAGAGAGAGAGAGATCTGCCATTTGCTGGTTCACTCCCAAAATGTCTGCAACAACAAGCCAGGACTATGCCAGACCCAAGCCAGGAGCCAGTATCTTCATCCAGGTCTCCCACATGGGTGGCGGGGGCCGAAGCACTTGGGCCATCTTCTACTGCTTTTCTGGGGCCATTAGGAGGGAGCTGGATTGGAAGTGGAGCAACGAGGACACAAACTACTGTGCATATGGGATGCTGATGTTTCAGGCAGTGGCTTTACTTGCTATGCCACAACACTGGCCCCCAACATGCCAGCTGTACACCAGACAAAAACATTCCCATTGGGGCCGGCGTTATGGTACAGTAGGTTAAGCAGTACTGACCTCTGATATAGACGCTGGTTCAAATTCCTGCTGCTTCACTTCCAATCCAGCTCCCTGCCAATGTGTGCGGGAAAGCAGTGGAAGATGGCCCAAGTGCTTGGACCCCTGTACCCACATGGGAGACCCAGGTGGAGTTCCAGGCTCCTGGCTCTGGCCTGCCTCAGCCCTAGCCATTCCAACTATTTGGGGAGTGAGCCAGCTGATGGAAGATCTCTCCCTGTCTTTTCCTCTCTCTCTCCCTCTAATTCTGCCTTTCAAATAAATAAATCAATCTTAGGAGCCAATTGCTGTGGTGTAGCAGTTAAGCCACTGCCTATAGCACCGGCATCACATTTGAATGCAAGTTCAAGTCCCAGGTGCTCCATTTCCAATCCAGCTCCCTGGCCTGGGAAAGCAGTGAAAGATGGCCTAAGTGCTTGGGCCCCTGAACCCGCATGGGAGACCTAGAAGAAGCTCCTGGCTTTGGTCTAGCCCAGCACTGGCTGTTGCAGCCATTTGGGGAGTGAACTAGCAGATGGAAGATCTCTTTATCTCTCTGCTTCTCCCTCTTTCTCTTCTTTCTCTGTAACTCTGCCTTTCAAATAAATCTTATAAATAAGTGAATAAAAATAAGTATTTATAAAAAATTCACCGTGGCCGGCGCTGCAGCTCACTAGGCTAATCCTCCGCCTTGCGGCGCTTGCACACTGGGTTCTAGTCCCGGTCAGGGTGCTGGATTCTGTCCCGGTTGCCCCTCTTCCAGGCCAGCTCTCTGCTGTGGCCAGGGAGTGCAGTGGAGGATGGCCCAAGTGCTTGGGCCCTGCACCCCATGGGAGACCAGGATAAGTACCTGGCTCCTGCCATCGGATCAGCGCGGTGCATCGGCCACAGCGCGCTGGCCGCGGCGGCCATTGGAGGGTGAACCAACGGCAAAAGGAAGACCTTTCTCTCTGTCTTTCTCTCTCTCACTGTCCACTCTGCCTGTCAAAAAAAAAAAAAAAAATTTCACAGAGTCTCAGTATTAAAATCAGTTGCAGATTTCTGGTAGTGAGCATGGTCTTCAATCTGAAGGTCTAGTACAAGTGTGCATGCTTATTTTAGGTGGGTTTGGCCCATGGGCTGTAGTTGGCAGATCCTCATGTTAGACATTGTTTTAGTATTCCAAAACTAAGTCTTTTAAGAAATGACATAATCAGAAATATTATATAATTCCATACTTAGTAATTCTTTTAAGTTCAGCAGAATGGTTCTTAATACTGACAGTGTGCTTTTAAAAATATCAGTAAGTAGATTAATAGAAGAACGGTCCCAGTGGGTAGCCTGAATTTGAAAGTGCCTTGCGAATATACAGAGAGAGTCCATGTACAAGGAGAAAGCCTAAAAATGACTCCCTCCATGTTATGTATGAATAGATGTTTTTAAATTGTTCCCAACTCACTCATTCACTCCTTTTAACTTAATTGCCCTCAATTTAAAACCTTTCCATTGGAAAGTGACCAATAAAGACCAATATTTTTTTTCAACAAAATCTGGACTGGATTAAAATCATGTTCTAGTCAAAGTAAAAGGATATGATATTAACACCTAGATGTGTCACATTGAATATACCTTTAGGACTTAGCTTATGAGCAAAGTTTGAAAGCTTGGCTCCTTTTTTTTTTTAAGGTTTGTTTGTTTGTTTGTTTATTGGAAACACAGAGTTACAGAGAGGCAGAGGCAGAGGCAGAGAGAGGTCTTCCATTCTCTGGTTCACTTCCCAGATGGCTGCAATGGCCAGAGCTGCACATCGATCCGAAGCCAGGAGCCAGGAACCTCCTCTGGGTCTCCCACACAGGTGCAGGGTCTCAGGGACTTGGGCCATCTTCCACTGCCGTCCCAGGCCATAACAGAGAGCTGGATCTGAAGTGAAGCAACCGGCCGGCGCCGCAGCTCACTAGGCTAATCCTCTGCCTGTGGTGCTGGCACACCGGGTTCTAGTCCCGATCGAGGCGTCGGATTCTGTCCCGGTCGCTCCTCTTCCTGTCCAGCTCTCTGCTGTGGCCCGGGAAGTCAGTGGAGGATGGCCCAAGTCCTTTAGGATAAGCACCTGGCTCCTGGCTTCGGATCAGCGCGCTGCGCCAGCCGGCGTGCAGCGGCCATTGGGGGGTGAACCAACGGAAAAGGAAGACCTTTCTCTCTCTCTCTCTCTCTCTCTCTCTCACTGTCCACTCTGCCTGTCAAAAAAAAAAAAAAAGAAGTGAAGCAACCAGTACTTGAACCAGCGCCCATATGGGATGCCGACACTGCAGGTGGCAGTTTTACCAGCTACGCCACAGTACCAGTCCTGAAAGCTTGGCTGTCAGTGTTAGAATTTTAATGGGGATTGGCCGGCGCCGTGGCTCACTAGGCTAATCCTCCGCCTAGCGGCGCCGGCACACCGGGTTCTAGTCCCGGTCAGGGCGCCGGATTCTGTCCCGGTTACCCCTCTTCCAGGCCAGCCCTCTGCTGTGGCCAGGGAGTGCAGTGGAGGATGGCCCAGGTGCTTGGGCCCTGTACCCCATGGGAGACCAGGAAAAGCACCTGGCTCCTGGCTCCTGCCATCGGATCAGCGCGGTACGCCAGCCGCAGCGCGCCGGCTGCGGCGGCCATTGGAGGGTGAACCAACGGCAAAAGGAAGACCTTTCTCTCTGTCTTTCTCTCTCTCACTGTCCACTCTGCCTGTCAAAAAAATAAATAAATAAATAAAAAAGAATTTTAATGGGGATTAGCTGTCATGATGGAATAGATGACTTTAAATGAAGTTCTGCCTGGCTCCAACCTTTTCATTCCATTCATTAAAGCACACAGCTTGAACTTTTCTCAGCAACGTGGCTCACCCTTTAGATGAAAGCTGGGCGTCTTTTCCTCTTCTGACCATCGTCTGATCACTTCCAAAGTGCTATATGGAGCATTTCTTAGCACCTACAGTGTCTGCATAATGGCAGTGAAATTTACAGATGCCTTTAAAACTCAGCCTAAGTAGAAGAAACCTAGGGATAGGGACATAGATGTAAAAAGTTATACTTGGGGATTTTCTGAAGGAAATACCAGTAAACTGAGCAGCAGTGATACTGATTATGTCTAGTTTCCTAGGTATTTGTTACAAGTGAACTTATGCTCCCTGTATGCCAGACTCTTTGGTATGGTAGATGTACTAATAGAAACTTAATGCCTCTGCCGAATACAAAGCCATGGTTGTTAAAATTGTAGTACATTAAAGAGCCAATGGGGCAGTGTTTGGTGCAGTGGTTTAGATGCCACTTTTTTTTTTTTTTTAAAGATTTGTTCATTTGAGAGGCAGAGTTACAGAAGGGTTGGGGGAGAGACAGAGAGAGAGAGATATCTTACATGTGCTGGTTTACTTCCCAAATGGCTGCCAAAGCTGGCTGGATCCAAAGCTAGGAGCAGGGGCTGTCGTGGCATAGCGGGAAAGCCACCGTCTGCAGTGCCGGCATCCCATATGGGTGCTAGTTCTAGTCCAGGCTGCTCCACTCCCTGTCCAGCTCCCTACAATGGGCCGGCAAAGCAGTGGAGGGTGGCCTGTGTCCTTGGGCCCCTGCACCTATGTGGGAGACCTGGAATAAGCTCCTGGCTTCAGATAGGTGCAACTCCGCCTGTTGTGGCCATCTGAGGAGTGAACCAGAGGATGGAAGACCTCTCTCTCTCTCTCTCTCTCTCTCTCTCTCTCTCTGCCTCTGCCTCTCTATAACTGCCTTTCAAATAAATAAATAAATCTTAAAAAAAAAAAAAAAGCTGGGAGCTAAGAGCTTCTTTAGGGTCTCCCATGTGGATGCAGGGTCCAAGCACTTTGGTGCTCTTCCACTGCCCTCTCAGGTGGATTAGCAGGGAGCTGGATCAGAAGTGGGACAGTTGGGACTCAAACCGGCACCCATATGGGATGCTGGTGTCACAAGCGGAGGCTAATCTATGCCATAGTGCTGGCCCCTAAGTGCCACTTGAGAGGCCCACATGCCATATCAGAGTACCTGGGGTCCAGTCCCAGCTCTGCTTCTCATTCTACCTTCAGCTGATGTGTACTCTGGCATGTAGCAAGTGATGGCTTAAGCACCTGGGTCCCAGCCACTTACATAGGAGACCTAGATTGAATCCTGGGCTCCTGGCTTTGGGCTGGCCAAACCCAAGGATAGTGAACCAGCAAATAGAAGATCTCTGTCTCTGTCTCTGTTTTCTCTCTGTCTACTTTTCAAATAAACAAAAATTAAGAATGTTTTTAAAAAGCTAAAAATGTGATCTATGATCCAAAATAGTTTCACTCCCCCCCCTTTTTTAAGATTTATTTTACTTATTTGAATGTCAGAGTTAGAGAGAGGGAGAGACAGAGATCTTCTACTTGCTGTTCACTCCAAATGGCCACAATGTCTGGGACTGGGTCAGGCCAAAGCCAGGAGCCAGGAGCTTCTTCTGTGTCTCCCATGTGGATGCAAGGGCCCAAGGACCTGGGCCGTCTTTTGCAACTTTCCCAGGTGCATTAGCAAGGAGCTGGATTGGAAATGGAGGATCCAGGACCCAAACTGGCTGGGATGCCAGCGTTGTAGTGGCAGTTTAACCTGTTATGCCACAATGCCAGGCGCAAATCACTCCATTATAGAAACTCTCTCATAGGACAAACCAGTAAAGATACAACTGTAGGGAATAGGGCAGGGCTTAGCAGATGCTGTCATTTCAGGTGGATAACAATATTTTAAAAACAGTTAACTGTGATTCCTGTATTGCAGTTTACATAAAATAACCCAGAGGAGATAGAGTTGTATGTTTATCTTATAAACATGTTCCATGGGGCTGGTGCCGTGGCTCACTTGGCTAATCCTCCGCCTGTGACGCCTGCATCCCACATGGGCGCCAGGTTCTAGTCCCGGTCACTCCTTTTCCAGTCTAGCTCTCTGCTGTGGCCCAGGAGGGCAGTGGAGGATGGCCCAGGTGCTTGGGCCCCTGCACCTGCATGGGAGACCAGGAAGAAGCACCTGGCTCCGGGCTTTGGATCGGCACAGCGCCAGTGTGGCGGTCATTTGGGGAGTGAAGCAACAGAAAGAAGACCTTTCTTTCTGTCTTTCTCTCTCACTGTCTGTAACTCTACCTGTCAAATAAATAAATAAATAAATAAGTTCCACTCTCATCAGTCCCTAGATGCTAAGGCCCTAACAGCTATCATCAATGACAAGGAGATGGACTCAGAAACCAATTTTTTCCAACCTCTTATGCAGTACAAGGAAATCAGACATGAAAAAGAAAGCAGTGGAATGGGGAGAGTGTATGTAATATGCATAATGGATAAAGCTGCCCTGCCTGAATTTTAAGGAAACATGGAATGAAAGAGATGAAGGTTTTATTCATAAAGAAATACAAAGAGCAGATCACCTTATCAAAAACACATAACATCTCCTGCAATTTAAAAGCAAAATGTGTGGAATCATGTATTTGTTAAGGAATCAAAAATCCCATTGACTGAAGTCAGTGTAAAAGATGGGAGAATGCCTTATGTATCCCTGATGGCATCAGGTGAAAACATAGTGGTTTGATTAATTTTTTTCTGGCAGACGTTCTGACATTATGTAATGGACCATACATAAACCCTTTTGTACTTTTTTATCCAGTAATACCCAGTGAAAGGCCCCAAAGAAAACAATAAATTTGTCCAGAGGGCTTAATCATTCATTATCACAAGGAGCCTGTATTCGTTGAGTATTTTCTGTGAATCTGGCATTGTGCTAAAATCGTGGAAGGGTTACATTGGCGCATGCACAATGCTATTACCACCATTTCTTAACTAAGAAAACAGGTTTAGGAGTGGAGAGGACACCAAGGTGCAGTGAGGCAGTTCAGCCGTCCGTCCAGGCTCTCCCAACCGGAGAAGATAAATTGAGATTCATGCTGTACTTGTGACTCCAGTCACCAGATGCTGACCTCCAAACTGTACTGCCCCCAGGTAGTGCTGGTGGTAAAGAACCAAAATGCAACGTGATGAAAAAGGGGAGGAAAATATTTAGTGAGACTGCCAACCAAACGGTGGCATATTAGCAGGACAGAATGCCGTGTCAAAATGCTGAGTTGTGTAGATTCTGTGAACAATTATGTGTATTTGGAAATATGCTAGGCAGAAAAACTAAACACAAAATCTGTTGTATGCACCAGCCATGACTGTGACTGTGGGAGATGTAAATTTCCTGATGGGACAGACAACAGAGAGTAGAAGGTAAGGCAGAAGGCTCTGGAGTTGGAGACTGCCTGGGCTAAAACCCCAGCTTTGTTGCTGACTGGCTGTTCACTTTGGGCCAGTTGCTTGACATCTCTGACTCTGTTTTCTCATCTCTAAAATGCAGCTAATAATAAATAGTGATGACTGTGAGGATTCTTTTTTTTTTTTTTTTTTTTTTGACAGGCAGAGTTAGACAGTGAGAGAGACAGAGAGAAAGGTCTTCCTTCCATTGGTTCACCCCCTAAATGGCTGCTACGGCCAGCGCGCTGCGCCGATCTGAAGCCAGGAGCCAGGTGCTCTTCCTGGTCTCCCATGCAGGTGCAGGTCCCAAGCACTTGGGCCATCCTCCACTGCACTCCTGGGCCACAGCAGAGAGCTGGACTGGAAGAGGAGCAACCGGGACAGAATCTGGTGCCCCAACCGGGACTAGAACCCAGGGTGCCGGCGCCGCAGGCGGAGGATTAGCCTAGTGAGCCACGGCGCTGGCCCGACTGTGAGGATTCTACAGTCCTCAGAGTAGCACCTGTTGTACCCAAACATTTATATCTATTTAAAAAAATTTTATTTGTTTATTTCATTTTATTTGAAAGGTAGAGAGAAAAAGACAAAGAGAGCTTCCATTCACTGGTTCACTCCCCAAATGTGTGCAACAGCCAGAGCTGGGCCAGTCCAGAGCCAGGAGCCAGGAACTCATTCCTGGTCTCTCATGTGTATGGCAGGGATCCAAGTACTTGAGCCATCTTCTGCTGTCTGCCTGGGTACACATTAACAGGCAGCTGGATTGGAAGCAGAGTAGCCACAACTTTAACCAGGCACTCTCATATGTGATGGGGGCATCCCAAGCAGCAGCTTAACTGCTGTGCCATACATCTGTCCCCGGGCTGTTATTTAATATGATTTGGAAATGAAATTGAGTGATAGCAGTTATTTAGAATGCAATGTACATTGGATTCTTTCACCATGAATTGTTTAAGTTTACAGTTTTAAGTAGTATGAGAGTTGTGTGTGTGTGTGTGTGTGAGAAAGAGAGATTAGCCTAGGTCCTCACCAGCCATGATAGGTGAGAGATTAGGATGTTGGGCATGTAGGTAGGACTAGCCTGCCTGCCAGGAAACTTTTAAGGGTTGTTTAGAGCTGCTGCCACCACACCTGAGTGAACTCAGGACTTGGGGAGCCCTTTGCCTGCACTGGTGACTCAGGAGTAGGAAAGAGTTCTTGGAGCACATTGGGACTTGCCCACTTGGCCTCAGTCCAGACGGTTCTCTTCACCCTACTTCTGAGTAATTACAGCTTATACCTTTCACTCAGTAGAGGATTTCAGGAGGTTACATGGATTTCCTGTTGTTGAACAATGAATCAAAAAGGAATAAGTGTATCATGTGGGTCTTCACCCTAAGACTGTCTCATCAATGTGGAGTGATTTCTGTCTTTCCTCTTGTCCTTGACAGCTACAGCTGCTCCAAGTTCAGCAAGAGAGCTGAGCTTAACCTCCCAGTTTAAGAAGCTGCAAGAGACTATTGAGCAAAAAACCAAGATAGAAATTGGGGACATTGTCCGAATCAGAGGCTATGTTCGCACGTACCGGGAAGAGCGAGAAATTCATGCCACTACTTATTGTAAGCATGGTATATTTCTGCCTGATTGGTTGTTGGGTGTGTGTCCAGAAAACTCTTATTTAGCTGAAAGTCAAACTTATAAAAAGTTCAAATATGAAGATGATAGAATAAATTATGTGGCGTATTGTTATTTTCTTCAGAAAAGTAGCATTTCTTCATTTTATTTTAAAGAGAGGTCGTTTTAAATACATTGGGGAAGAAAGTGAATTATTTACTAATTAGAGTGGGCGAGTTGATTTGGACAACATAGTAGTTTCCAGAATGCTTTGAAGTTCCTCCAATCTTGGTCAGTTAGAGCAGAGGTTTCATATTCTTGAGAGTGATGTGAATTTCTTGAACACCATCGAGTCCATGAACGTTAAATGAAGTCGGCTAATCAGAAGCCCCATTTTCCCTGTATACTGTGCTGGCTTGTTTTCAGCTGGGAACCTCAAGAAGGAGTGAATATATTCTGGCCCCTGCCACACCTATGATGCTGTGGGTGCTGCCTTCCCTCTCGTGGGGTGGTGGTACTGCCAAGTGCATCCATGAGAAGGGAAACCCACCACCATGTACCTCAGTTACTGTTGTCCTAGGGGCAACCTGGACATGGGAAGGAACCTCAGAGTAACTTCAATGGCCTCTTTTTCCCTGTGGCTTGTTAGATAAGGTAGATGACCCAGTGTGGAACATTCAGATCTCAAGGATGCAGGAGCTGCCTGGTATGTACAGGAGAGTCTATGACCAGCCTTTCCGCAGCCCAGCCCTGGAGAAAGAAGAGGCACTGAGGTAAGTCACCCCTCCTGGAAAGGTGACCACAGCAGGACAGCCAAGCGTGGCAGCCCAGGTGTTGGGGTCGGCCTGGCTTCAAATCCTGAATCATCCATGGGGCTCTGGGCAAGTCCTCTGAGGCTCCAGGTCGTCAGTTTGCTCACCTGTAAAGTGAACATAACAGGATGCATGAAGAAAACCTGGGTGTAATTGGAGTCAGGGAAGGCATAGGTGGGGAATAGAAAAAAATATTTGAGGAAATAATGACTGAAATTTTTCCAAGCTTGATGAAAACTATAAAATCACAGATACAAGAAGCTCAACAGGCCCCAAGGCAAGAAACCTGAAGAAACTGCTCCAGAACACAACACAAACAGGTTGCCCTATGCCACACCATCACCGAAAGCCTGTTTGTTTGTTTTTTTTTTTTTTTAAGATTTATTTATTTATTTGAAAGTCAGAGTTACACAGAGAGAGAAAGAGAGGCAGAGAGAGAGAGAAAAAAAAACCTTCCATCCACTGGTTCATTCCCTAATTGGCCACAACGGCCGGAGCTGCACCAATCTGAAGCCAGGAGCCAGGAGCTTCTTCCAAGTCTCCCACGCAGGTTCAGGGGCCCAAGGACTTGGGCCATCTTCTGCTGCTATCCCAGGCCATAGCAGAGAACTGGATCGGAAGTGGAGCAGCCAGGACTCGAACCAGTGACCATATGGGATGCCGGCACTGCAGGCAGCGGCTTTACCCACTACTACAGCGCCACCCCCTGAAAGCCTTTTTAAAAATGCAACAGCTACTTATTCTCAACCAGGGATCATTTTAGTCCTTTCTGTGGGGGAAAAAACAACCCAAAAAGAGTAAGAATGTATGCAAGGCTAAGAGTGGGGACTGGAAGGACAGGATGGGGAAGGAGAGTGATGGGGATGTTTTTGTTTTGTCTCTTGTCATTTTTCTTTTGAGAGACAAAGAAAGAGAGCTATCTGTTGGTTTACTCCCCAAATGCCTGTAAAGGCCAAGGCTGGTGAGGCCAGAGCCATGAGCCAGAAACTCAGTTCAGGTCTCCCATGTGGGTGACAGGGATCCAATCACCTGCTGCTTGCCAGGATCTGCCTCAGCAGGAAGCTGGAGGCAGGAGCCAGAGCCAGGAATCAGTCTCAGGAATCCCAGTGTGGGAGGCAGACATCTTAACTGCTAGGCTGAACATCTGCCCACCCCCTTTAATATTTTTACCGCATGAATTTATTATTTATTAAAAATTGCTTTTTAAACTTGTCTACTGTAATATTTTATAGACTTGTGTAAAAAAGAAAGTGAAATCCTTCGTTTTCCTGACTCCTAACTTGGCTCTGTTGCCCAGCAGTTGTCCACAGGCCAGTGTGCTTCTCTGCAGGGACCGAGGGTGAATATTCATCCAGACATTTGGTGGACTGTCATCTCTGCCTTTACAAAAATGGGACCATGTGTGTCTTTTTTTTTTTTTTAAGATTTGTTTATTCAAGAGGTAAAGTTATAGACAGAGAGAAGGCGAGAGAGAGGGCGACAGAGAGAAAGGTTTTCCATCTGCCAGTTCACACCCCAAATGGCCACTAAGGCCAGAGCTGGGCAGATCCAAAGCCAGAAGATGGAACTTTTTTTTTTTTTAAAGAGTCTCTCTCTCTCTCTCTCCTCTCTCTCTCTCTCTCTCTCTCTTTATTTGACAGGCAGAGTAACAGAGAGGCAGAGAGAGAGAGAGAGGTCTTCCATCTGCTGGTTCACTCCCCAAGTGGTTGCAATGGCCAGAGCTGGGCCAATTTGAAGCCAGGAGCCAGGAGCTTCTTCCAGGTCTCCCATGTGGTGCAGGGGCTCAAGGACTTGGACCATCTTGCTTTCCCAGGCCATAGCAGAGAGTTGGATTGGAAGAGAAGCAGCTGGGACTTAAACTGGCTCCCATATGGGATGCCAGCCTTGCGAGTGGTGGCATTCCCTGCTACACCACAGATCCAGCCCCGACAGGACCTTCTTCTGAAGCTCCCACGCGGGTGCAGGTGCCCAAGCACTTGGGCCATCTTTTACTGCTTTCCCAAGCCAAAAGCAGAAAGCTGGATTAAAAGTGGAACAGCCAGGACTCAAACCGGCACCTACATGCGATGCCAGCACTGGGGGCTGTGGCTTTAACCCACTGCACCACAGTGCCAGCCCCAAAGACCATGTCTTACATGCTGTCTGCAGCTTTTCTTCTTCATCAGTCTTATCTCTGTTGGTTCCTGTTTTCTGCCTTACATTTTTAAACAACTGTGTGACATTCACCGACTCACCCTTTATGTCAAAAACAAGCATCAACATATGAGGGGTCTTCAAAAAGTTCATAGAAAATGCATAGTATGAAAAAACTGCATGGTTTCTAAAAAATGTTTGGACCAAAAGAAATATTTCTTTTTTTAAACTTGTATTTTATTTTTAAAATTTTTATTTATTTGAGAGAGAGAGAGAGAGAAGAGTATTCCCATCTGTTGGTTTACTCCCCAGGTGTCCACAATGGCTGGACTATGCCCAGCCAGAGTCAGATGCTGGGAACTCCAACCACATCTCCCCTGCAGGAGGCGGAAACCCAACTACTTGAGCCTCCCGGGATCTGCATTAGCAGGAAGCTAGAATCGAGGAGCTAGAGCCAGGAATTGAACCCAGGCACTCAGAAGTGGGATTCAGGTGTCTTAACTGCTAGGCCAAACACCCATCCCCTAAACTTACCTTTTAATTTCATTTTCCATGAACTTTTTGAAGTACTTGCAGACTGTTCCATTTTCTAACTATCTTATGCACACCAGAAAAGAGCACAGGTGATGGTTTTCTTAAGGGTTTTTTTTTTTTTTTCTTTTCAATCCTTCCTCCATCAGCGATCCAGGCACCCTGGACCTTGCCCATCTCACATGTTTGCTGAGTGAAAAAGTCAAAGAATTCCTTGAGGAGAACAGAGTGCCAAGCTTTTACCAGCAGGAGTTGGAAACGGTGGAGTCTTTGCTGGCCCTTGCCAATCAGCCCGTGATTCACAGCGCCTGCCCTGACCAAGTGAGTGCAGCATGCCCACGTGAGGATCCAGGTCCTCTGCCCCAGTCTGCAGCTTAAGGGCGTGGGTGAATGTGACTGTGGCATGAAGACTCACAGGGTGGACCCGGGGAACAGAGGCTGTGGCTCTAGCACATGCCCTTTCTACTCTGGGAAGCTCACTGAGCATTCAGAACTTGAGTTGAGGCTGGACCTGCCCTGTCCTCCTCCTTTAATCTCATTATGTTGATCTTTGAGTAGCAAGAAACAGTAATAGTTTAAGGATACTAGCACCTAGTTGATAGCACTCACTGAACTGGGCAGTAACCATCAGCAGAAGCCGGATGAGGGGAAGTAGTGAAAGGAGGTAATTATCTGTCCAAGATTATTTATTGATTAGCAAGATGATTCTTGAACTTGAGCCAAAGTTTTTAATGGGTTGCTGTCTTCTAGGTTAATTTGCTGTGTTTTAGAAGTTTAAATGAACACTGAGTGGTATCCAGTCTGGTTTATAAGTGAAAGTTTTAAGAAATACCTAAGTTGTTTTTTATTCATCTTGAAAAAAACTGTCCCTGTTGGTTCTCCCCAGTGTCACGCGAACTTGTTTGGTTGTTTGGCATTTATTTATTTGCTTGGAATTAAGAGTTGAGACTTTGGTTTTAGGCTTTCTCTATGTTAAAGTTCTTAGGTTTAGGTTTGTTGTTGTCACATAAGTCATAGTTGGTTTTTTTTTTTTTTTTTTTTAAGATTTATTTATTTTATTTGAAAGGCAGAGTTACAGAAGGGCAGAGAGAAAGAGAGGCCTTCTATCCACTGGTTCACTCCACAAATGGCCAGAATGACTGGAGCTGCACCGGTCCGAAGCCAGGAGCCAGGAGCTTCTTCCAGGTCTCTCACAGGGGTGCAGGAGCCTAAGCACTTGGGCCATATTCCACTGCTTTCCCAGGCCACAGCAGAGAGCTGGATTGGAAGTGGAGCAACCAGGTCTTGAAACAGCGCCCATATGAGATGCCAACACTGCATGCAGTGGCTTTACCCACTATGCCACAGCACTGGCCCAGTCGTAGTTATTTTTTAAATTTATGTTCCTTATCCCACCAGGGGGCCATCTCGGCTGACATGCCACCTTCTTGCCTCCCTGCCTCTGCTCTGATCGCCACTCGGGCGATCACCCTGTGCTGTCAGTGATATCGCTGGTGTTTATTTGTTGAGCTGCCTGTTCCTTTTACGTGAGAGCAGGGGCCTGTCTGTGTTGTTCTTTGCTGTCTACCCAGGGCCTAGGACTGTGCTGGCTTAAAGCAGGTTCTCAATAATTACTTGATTGAACACATGAATGGGTTTAGAAAATTCAGATGGTCCCAGCAGTTATACATGGTAGCCACCCCCACACCCATTATCCTCTGGGGGTTCTATTCCAAGACTCCCAGTGGATGCCTGAAACTGGATAGCAGTGAACCTTGTATATGATAGATGGCTGCTGATGGAGTGGGCGGGCAGGTAGTGTGTACATCATGGATGTGGTAGACAAAGGATGATGCATGTCTTGGGAAGGACGAAATAGGACGGCATGAGATTTCATCACCTACCCAGAATAGCACACAATTTAAAATGTATGAATTATTTATTTCTGGAATTTTCCATTTAATATTTTCAGGCCATGGGTAACTGAAACCACAAAAAGCAAAACTGCCAATAAATTGTGGGGGGCAGGGGACTGTTGGAGTCAAGTTTCCTTCCCCGGCCCCTCCCACCCCCACCCAGAGACAGGAAGGGACCATTATTAAATGTCTTGAATATCCTCTGGACAGAGCCTGTGAGTACAGAAACTGTTAGTCATTGTATCCCTTTCCTCCTTGCACAACAATCGGAGTGCACTGTGGAGTGCTGTGAGAGACTTAGGTGTTCACGGAACGTGTGTGTCACAGGTGCTCCCCCAGCACACACACGACTCGCCACTCAGAGCAGGCTCTGGGACAGGTCCCGTGATGTGCCTAAGCAGCCTCTCCATTCCCACACTGCTTCCATGGCTCACGTCTTTGCCAGACATTTGCTGAGACTCCCTCACTGTGGAACCTCCAGGTGGAGCAGATACCAGCTCCCAATCCTGACCTGGGCATGGCCGCTACCTCTCAGTTTTGTCCCCACACCTAATTAGCCCTCCTTGGCAACAGGCTTCCATGCCTGGTGACCAGCATTTCACACGGGGATACAGGGATAGGGTTTCAGAAAACACCCAGGTGCAGAGGGTCACGACTGGGTCCTTTGTTTTTCCCTGAGGTTGCCTCCGAGCCGTTGCGACTCCCCAGCTGTCTGCTGACAGCAAAGTTGACCTCCCGTTTAATCATTTAACGGAGGCTCGAAACCACCTGACCCCCTCCTGGGGCTTGGGAACTCTGTCAGCATGTTTGGAAGGCAACGCGAAGACCGCGTTTTCACGGGAGCCAGCTCTCCAGGACAGCTGTGGTGAGGGAGGGACTCAGGGCTCTGAGGCTGGGATGCCTCTCCATTCCCAGTGCAGGGTGGGGACGCCTTGGCATGACATGTGTTAAATGCTCAGAGCAGAAACTTGTGTCTGCCCACAGCCTGTTAGGTTTCAGAAGAATGGTTCTGGCACTGTACTTGTTTTGTCTTTGGAAGTGATTTTTCCCATCAATTATGAATTAGGCCCTCACATTGCTTTGCTGGGGAGGCCCATGTCATTTAATTGAATTCCACTTAATAGAGTCCCGGGAAACCAAAGATGCTTTAGAATGATGGTGACATCCTAGATCCTGTGGCACCTTGCATTGTCTTACAGGTGAACGCTTCGTCAAGTCATTATGATGCTGGTAGAGCTTAGAGGCCAGAGAACGGGTTGGAATGTTCTGTCCCTTTCTTTCTTTTTCCATAGCGGCCCTTCTTAGTGAATCCAGAAGCATGAGAAGCAGACCTCGCACAGCCACTGTTTCACTGACAGCTGGATGAATGCTGAGTTTCTCCAGGAGTGGAGACTATATATATTTCAGGGCTCCACCCAGTTCCTGGCCTGAGCCTAGCAGAGGCTTGGTGAGGCTCAGCCCATGGAGCCAGTCACTGTTTTTGTCTGTGGGCAATTTCGGTTTCCTGAATCGGATGAGCCTGTCATTACTGTTTCAGAAAAGACAGGAAAGATCCAGATCTCCAGCCAGGAAGAGCTGCTGGCTGGAGGGGGCCATGGCGGTTGGCCCTTGAGACTGGTCTCGTAAGCAGGCTGGGAGCCGCGGCCCAGGGTCAGCAGAGGCCACTGTTTTTGCAGAGGAAGCCTCAGCGGTTGTTTACATTGACAGAGAGCCCCGCGTGCGTGGAACCCCACCCGCTCACTGCTGACAGAGAGCCCCGCGTGCGTGGAACCCCACCCGCTCACTACTGACAGAGAGCCCCGCGTGCGTGGAACCCCACCCGCTCACTGCTGAAGCTGAGCCTTTCGTCTCCCAGGCCAGGCCTCCCCTCTTCCTGCTGCTGGGTCTTCCCCAGAAACTGGTTTTTTTTGTGTGTGTGTAATCCGGGGTAATTATTTTTAATGACAGGAATAATCATGTAACAATCATTTCTAGTTCATTTCCCATTTGTGTCTGTCTCACTAAGAAATGCAATCAACTCGTCCTCTAGGATCCTTGTGTTCGTTTGGCCAGAGAAAACAAACCTCCCTAGAATGATGGAGATGAAGGTGCTGCACGGGTCTGGGGAGGAGTCTTGTCAGCCTGGGCGCACCTGCCCTATAGGGAGGAGCCGTCCTGTAGGAAGTTAACCGCAGCTTTGCCATAAGCTCCGAGACTGGGGATGTGTGGGGAGGGTCGTGGGTGAGAGGTTTGGTCACACCCAGATGGCTCTTCTGGCTGTAGGATCCCCCCAGGTTTCTCAGCCTTCTCCCTCCTGAGAGTGGGTGCTGCCACCCCCTAAAACCCTCTTTTAGGCCTTCCTGACCTCCCGGTAACCAGGGCCTCCAGTTTGTTCTGTTAAGGGAAAACGTAAACTTCATTCAATTAAGAGTGTTAGACTGTCGTCACCTTTAGCCCAGGAGAGCACATCGTGAAACGGCAGCAGGATCTATTAGTCTAATAAAATGCCTTGGCAGGATTGGGAGGAGAGACTTCTACAAAGAGAAGTTTTCATTAGGGGTAGAATTGTCAATCCGGGATACTGTGTGGGTGTTCTCTGCTTCCTTGTCCCCTGGAGGAAATGTTAGCGGTGAGTCTGAGCCCCCACTTGGTTTCTCAGCACCTGTGGGGTCGCCCAGGTACCGCGGTATGCACCTTTCATCACAGGTAGGATTTTGCCTGCAAATACTTTTTGGAAGCTTTGCTGCATTTCACTGGAGCTCTGCTCTTTTTAATATCTGAACTTGTATATTTTTCTGTACATTAAAAATGGATCTGTGCCTTGAAGGACAACTGCTGTTCTTTGGGACTCCAACAGAAAAGGATAATGCATGTAGCCTCTCTAATGGGGTATGTAGTTCACAAAGATTTTATTGGTCACCTGCCGTGTCCCAGGGAGGAGATGGCCAGGACTATAGCAGGACGTAGCTGATAGCCTTGTGGCAGCACGTGCCTCCCCAGGCACTCCAGTCAGTAGAGAAGGGCAGAGTGTGGGACGTGGGGAGCAGAACACCAGTGACGGCCTCAGAGCTCGCTTTCCTCTAGGACAGCTCTGCACCTTCAGCCCTGGCTCCCACCTGCACCACTGTCGGCCTCCCTTGCACTCTGATTAAAGCCAGGAGACTGCTTAGTGCTTACTGCATGCAGGAATGCCCGGGTTGCTTCAGCAGGAAGCAAGTCCTCGGGAAGAGACTGTGTAGCCACAACTTTAATGAAGAAAGGCGCTAACATATGTACCATGTTTGGGTTACATATGACAAAGACTGACCAGCAGTGAGAATAGCTTTTTGATTTTCTATTCCTTATCATCGTATTAAACAAACACAAACTCACAACTGAGGTATGAAACTGCACAAGCACCATCCTGACAGCGCAGGCTCCCCAGCCCTCGACAAACACCTGCCTGGGTGCGTCCCAGGCTGTCTGGACTCACAGATTGAAAGCTTGCTGGGCACAGTCACAAACCGGTTGGTCTAGGGAGTTACTCTTCGGTGCTGTGAGGTGGGATTGATTTCTCCTTTTTTCCCTTTCTCCTCTTCATGCAGGTGGATTGTAAGGACACCACTTCCAAGGCAATTCACAGCATATTTAAGAATGCCATACAGCTTCTGCAGGAGAAAGGCCTTGTTTTCCAGAGAAGTGGAGGTTTTGATGACCTGTACTATGTGAGTGACCTGCAGTTTGTTTCCCTTACTAGCTTCAAGTACAAGAATTACAAGTGTGTTTCTTTTCTTTTTTTTCTTTTAAAGATTTAACTTATTTGAAAGGCAGGGTGACAGGAAAAGAACGATAAAGCATTCTGGGGCGGTGCTGTGACATAGCGGGTAAGCAGTGCTGGGATCCCACATGGGTGCTGTGACGTAGCGGGTAAGCCCACTGCTGGCAGTGCTGGGACCCCACATGGGCGCCGGTTCAAGTCCCTGCTGCTCCACTTCTGATCCCGCTCTCTGCTATGGCCTGGGAAAGCAGTAGAAGATGGCCCGAGTTCTTGGGCCCTGTACCTGTATGGGAGTTCTGAAAGAAGCTCGTGGCTCCTGGCTCCTGATTGGTGCAGCTACCATTTAAGGAGTGAACCAGCGGATTGAAGGCTTTTCTCTCTCTCTCTGTCTGCCTCTCCTCTCTGTAACTCTTTCAAATAAATAAATATTAAAAAAAAATGCATTCTTCCATCTGCTGGTTCACTCCCCACATGGCCGCAATAGCCAAGTGTGGGCCAGGTTGAAGCCAGGAGCCAGAAACTCCATCCTGGTCTCCCACATAGGTGACAGGAACCCAATACTTGGCCTGTCTTCTGCTGTTTTCCCAGACACATTAGCAAGAGCTGGTTTAGGAGTGGAGCAGCCGGAATGTAAATATACCAAGTGGTAGTTTAACCCACTGTGCCACGCCAGCCCCACAAGTATATTTGTTGCTTAAAAATACCTACTTACTGCTTTCAAAATCTTTTTTTTTTTTTTTTGACAGGCAGAGTGGACAGTGAGAGAGAGAGAGACAGAGAGAAAGGTCTTTCTTTTGCTGTTGGTTCACCCTCCAATGGCCGCCGCGGCCGGCGCGCTGCGGCCGGCGCACCGCACTGATCCAATGGCAGGAGCCAGATACTTACTCTGGTCTCCCGTAGGGTGCAGGGCCCAAGTACTTGGGCCATCCTCCACTGCACTTCCCTGGCCACAGCAGAGAGCTGGCCTGGAAGAGGGGCAACCGGGACAGAATCCGGCGCCCCGACCGGGACTAGAACCCAGTGTGCCGGTGCCGCAAGGCGGAGGATTAGCCTAGTGAGCTGCGGCGCCGGCCTCAAAATCATTTTTAAGGGAGGTGCGTAAACTCAGAAGTGAAGGCTGGTTTTTATTTTCCCCTGGGGTGCCTTTTACTGACACTCATCTGTGCTTCACAAATGCACATAGGTGCACATGTGTGCCTGTGGCAAGACATGTAATCGTCGTCTACATCAAGGCTCGGCACTCTTTGGGTCCCAGGACTGATGGTTGTGGGGCCTGACCTGTGCAGTGGAGGACGTAGAGCAGTAGCTGAGACATTGCCACGTGTCCCTGAGGCAGTTAAGAACCACTGCTGGAAATAACATGAGCTCCTTCTTTTGGTTCCAGGAGAGCTCACCCCAGGTAGTTTTCTACTCCCAGGCTCCCTCACTCTTCTGAATGCCTTCCTCCATCCTGTGGGGGACTCGCCATCAATGTATTAGCCATTCCTTTGTGATGGACACTTAAGACGCTTCTAGCCTCTGCTGTCACCAAGGTGGCCACACCTGCACGTGCTCTCTGTGAGTGTGCATCAGTGTTGGTGTACCATGGACTGTTCGAGGAAGAGGCGCAGGAGCACAGGGCCTGTGTGTTTAAGCTTTCAGTGAGCACCGTCTGAACGTCCTCAGGCCATGCAGGTGACACTGCACCCAGTGCTTACTGGCCTCGTTCTGTGCACACACCTTTAATATTGAAGGAGCCACGCTGAAGATGGGCCTGGGCCAGCGCCACGGCTCACTAGGCTAATCCTCCGCCTTGCGGCACCGGCACACCAGGTTCTAGTCCCGGTCGGGGCACCGGATTCTGTCCCGGTTGCCCCTCTTCCAGGCCAGCTCTCTGCTGTGGCCTGGGAGTGCAGTAGAGGATGGCCCAAGTGCTTGGGCCCTGCACCCCATGGGAGACCAGGAAAAGCACCTGGCTCCTGCCTTCAGATCAGCGCGGTACGCCGGCCGCGGCGGCCATTGGAGGGTGAACCAATGGCAAAAGGAAGACCTTTCTCTCTGTCTCTCTCACTGTCCACTCTGCCTGTAAAAAAAAAAAAAAAAGATGGGCCTGCTCAGGACCACTGAGCTAGTCGCCCACATGTGGCTTGTGTGGCTTTAGTTCCCTGTGATCCTCTTAGAGACGGGAAGCCACGCAAGGCCCCTGGGGCAGCTTTCCCTAACAGGCATTTTCTGGTACTGGTTGACCCTAGAGAGTCCTCGTTTGAGAGGTTTTTAGAGTTGAGCTGTGTCTCAATGACTTCTGGAAGAAGGTGAGTGTGGCGCACCCTGTCCCGGGAGGGGGAGAGGCTGGGGTTGGCTGCCTCACGCTTGTGTGAGCCCCCTGGGACACGCCTTTCTGCAGGGCCACAGGCAGCAGCCAGGGAGAGGTGTGGCAGGGCTGGGCACTTCCTCCTATGAATCACCGTGAGTTGGAATGGGGTGATGAGGCAGGCCTAGATCTCCTGCCCTCTCTGGCTTCGCTCCTGCCACCAGTGCCTGCCTCCGGGAAGGGCCTGTCGTGCTGTGTCAATACTTGTGCTTCCACAGGGCTTGCCAGCTCTCAGAGGCTCTCCCACACTGCTTGTTGAATCTTCACCCTAAGCTTGTGAGTTGAGAGAAGGCAGTGTTGCCACTGTCCCTGCTGTGTAAGTCAGGAGGCAGGCCTTCTGGGCTCTGAAGTAGAATCATAACGCTTGGCTTGAAGCTGGTTTTCATGTTTTGTTCCTCCCTTTCTCTTTCTCTCTCTCACTCACTCACCCCTATTCCTGATACCCTCTGGTCTATTCCTTTTTTTGTTGTTGTTATTAGATTGACTTGAATTTGATGGTGAAGCCCAAAGGATTGCTGCTTCCCTCTTTTCTGAACTTCTTGAGAAGGAAACATGGTTACACCTGCCTTTGAGGGCAGAGTATGGTGGTGGATAAGCTGGATTCACTCCCTTGCTAGCTTTTCCTGACAGTTTTTTGTTGTTGTTTGTTTGTTTTCCCATATGGGTAGAAGGAAGAAAACGAAATATTAGACAGGGATGGGCACTGAGCAGTTAAGGTGTGTGTTCCATATCAGAGTACCTGGATTTGAGTCCCAGCTCCAGCTCCTGATTCTAGCTTCATTGCTCATGTGCACCCTGGGAGGCAACAGCGATGGCTCAAGTAGTTGGGTTTCTTTTTTTTTTTTTTTTTTTTTTTTTTTAATTTTTGACAGGCAGAGTGGACAGTGAGAGAGAGAGACAGAGGGAGAAAGGTCTTCCTTTGCCGTTGGTTCACCCTCCAATGGCCGCCGCTGCAGCCAGCGCACCGTGCTGATCCGATGGCAGGAGCCAGGATCCAGGTGCTTTTCCTGGTCTCCCATGGGGTGCAGGGCCCAAGCACCTGGGCCATCCTCCACTGCACTCCCTGGCCATAGCAGAGAGCTGGCCTGGAAGAGGGGCAACCGGGACAGAATCCGGCGCCCCAACCGGGACTAGAACCCGGTGTGCCAGCGCCGCAAGATGGAGGATTAGCCTATTGAGCCACGGCGCCGGCCCATCAAGTAGTTGGGTTTCTGCCGTCCACTTGGGAGACCTGGATTGGACTCATGACTCCCAGCCCTGGCTGCTTCAGGGATTTGAGCAGCAAACCAGTGGATGAGAATGCACAACCACTTGCATGCTCTGTGTGCATGTGTGTGTGTGAGAGAGATTCTGAAATAAATCAAAAGTTTAACTCTGTGAGACAGGGCCAAGAAAAGGGAACTTGGAATAATAGACTGGAGGTTTGGATCACTATGTCTTCTTTAAAAACATAAAAGCAAGCCAGAGCACTTGTAAGGGTGTGTCATGAGTGTTTAAAAGGAAAGAAGCTCCTTCCAAGTGCAGAATTCCAGGTGTTCTTTCTGTCTTGGCCCTAGTGAGCCAGCTCTGGGCCAGCCACAGAGCTGTGAGCTGCGCAGGACAGAACTGGTTTGACAATAGGCCAACTATGGAAAGCCACATGGTTCACGTCAGGAAGATAATTGTTATAAAACCTTTAGAAACTACTCTAAATGCCGATGTGGGAGTCTGGAAGCCACAACTGTGGTGTTATCTTAGAACTCTTCTCTGCACTATTTTTCCTACTTAGGTAACCAGAGAAGACAAGGACCTGCATAGAAAGATCCACCAGATCATCCAGGAAGACTGCCAGAAACCACACTGTAAGTGGCGCCATGCAGAGAGGGCCCTTGGTGCACTGGAAGGGAATCCGCACTCCCCAGGGGCAGGGGAGGAAGAGTCTAGAGGCCTGGGGCTTGTCCCCTTAGTGCTGTGGCAAGGTGGTGGTCAAGGCCTGTGCCCTCTCTCAGCTTTGGTTGTCTCCTCTCTGGGGTGAACGTTAGACTAGCACAGTTCTGATCTTGGGCTGCGCATGAGGGTCAGCCTCAGAGCTCTTTTAAACACTTAGTGCCCAGGTTTCTCCCCTGGGGATTCTGATTCTGTAGGGATCGAGGTGGGGGCTGGAAGGCAGCCTTCTTTGGTGATCTTGCTACTGTGAGGAAAGCCACTGCACTGGACCGGCTCATGCCTTTCTCCTTCTCATGTCTTCTCTGAGTTGTGTGATTTTGTGTTCCATGCTTGTCTGTGTCTGTGTCCACAAATGTGACATTTCCCTGTTCTGGCATCAAGAAATGTTAGGAGTAGCCTGGTGTTAGAAGTAGTCCTAGACGCACAGTTTGTGAAAGGTCTAATTCAGTCATCTTGGAAACTGCGAATTTACAAAAGCTGTTTGAAAATAGTTGGTTTAGTGAAGTTAGGTCAGCCCCTAGTGGTTAGACACACAAACTGCAGCCACTCTCACAACACAAACACTGGTTAGGAGCAGAGAACATCACTCCTATCTTTAAATCCGCCAGTCCTAAAGGTGACTTTTCAAAGTCCACCTTTTGCAAACATACACTAACAATGAGTGTTGACACAGTCCACAACTGATGGGAGAAAGGAAGTGGAAAGGTTTGTTAATGACCCCAGCTCCTACTCCGCCTTCCGGTCCTTTCAGCCCATCCATCCCTTGGGCATGGTCCTGCCCCAGGCTGTCAGTGGGTGGGGCTGGGCCAGGTCTCCAGCCCTGGTGTTTGTAACCTGATGAAATCAGATCCCAGATCGTGTGACAAGATGCCTTAAAACAAACTCAGGGCATGCTGTAAGTTAATGCAGTGAATTACTGTTGTTCCTTTCACTCAGAAAAATAAAAGCAAATTGAAGGGAAATCCCAGCTACCCAGACACACAGGAGCTTCGGAGAGCGGTGCGGCGGTGGTACTCTTTGGCCCACAAGGAATGGGAGATGCTCCCCTCCCCAGCCCTCCCAGATGCTTACTTTGATCCACTCTAGGACAAAACGGATGAAAGCCCAGGGCCTGGGGTGGAAGTGAAAGGAACTCATCTCTTAGGAGAACCTGGCCCAGAGCTGTTAAGGTGGCAGGTGTAGTGTCCACCCGACCAGCCACTGTTGGCAGTGACGGTGCAGAGCAGGCGGGCCTGGCCCTGCGGCGCAGTCTGTACGCAGGATCCTGAGAGCTGCCAGTCCGTCACCCGGCACTCGGCAGCTGCTGGAGCTGAGTTGTAAAGCCCAAGTCCTGTGGGTGCTGATAAAAGGAACATGCTGTAACCACTCTCCATAATGCTGCACCCTATGGCAGTAACAAATCATGCTGAGTAGCAGTGTACACGTCCCTTAAAAAGCCCCAGTGCAGAAATGCACACGGAAAAGGCAGGCTCCCAGCGCTGAGCCGCAGGCCGTTTCCCTTCCTAAAGGCAGTGGTGGTTGCTAGTTTCTTCCATATCCTTCTGGAAATGCCATATGCACTTAAAACGTAATTTGTATAGGAAGTAAACACTGGTGTGCAGTACACGTTGTCCCTCAGCTGGTACTTCAGAGCTGACCACAGCTTCTAGAGCACTGGCTCCAGAACCCAGAAAATTAGCTCCGTCTTGCTGAGGGCCACACAGTATTCCAGTTCACCATTTCCTGAACCGTCCCTGCTGGGCCTTTAGTCCATTTCTAACCTTTCACGCAAAGAAACATTGAGCTTTTCCTTCTCAAGATGCTGGGTCAGTGGACTTGACATCTGCAGTCAGTGTCCGACTTCTCAGCAGGGCTAAAGCTGCGGTTGGAAGGTGAAGCACAGATCAGGCTCAGGCCGGTCTTGGGGAGCTGCGCTCTTATCTGAATCCCAGCTCTGCCACTCTGTGGCTGTGTGACCTTGGGCAAGTCTGTGCCTCAGGCTCTTTGTATGCAAAATGGGGATAACAGCGGTGCCTGCTTGATGGGTTATGAGAAGTCAGTGGATTGGTGTTTATAAAGCTATGAGATGAATGAGACAAATGAGAAGGGCTGGAAAGGGTTAAATAAGATGAAGTTGTGTTTCCTAAAGGCCCAGCTATTGGCCTTGACTCCCTAGCCCACAGGCCCGGAAGTCTCCTTCTCCCTCTGCTTGTTTTGATATTGATCTGGAAGGAAGCAGTTGCAGATAGAATCTGTGTGTGCATTTTGCTCTATAATTGTTGAGCTGAAGTTAAAACAGTCTGGATTTTGGCTTTAAGTACGGTTATAACAAAAATTTCCAAAAAAGGCTTCCACATTGAAGAAGTCTTTGTTAAAAAATTTTATTTACTTATTTGAAAAGCAGTTTCACACACACACACACACACACACACACACACGCATACACGGGCCAGTGGGGGCAGTATTTCATCTGCTGGTTCATTCCCCAAAGTCCATAATTGCAAAGGCTGAGCCAGGCCAAAACCAGGAACCTGGAGCTCCACCCAGGTCTCCCACATGGGTGGCAGGAACCCAAGCACTTGGGCCACCCTTTGCTGTGTTCCCAGGCATATTAGCAGGGAGCTGGATCAGAAGCAGAGCAGCCAGGACTGGAATTGGTGCCCATATGGGATGCTGGCATCAGAGGCAGTGGTTTAACCAACTACGCCACAATGCCGGCCCCCAAAGATGTGTTTTTACCCCCAACTTGTTGTTCTGAAAATGTTCCAACCCATAGAAAAATTGAAAGGCTAGTATAGTAAACAGTCATATACCCTTTGCCTGGATTTATGATAAGAAGTTTAGGTTGTATTTTCTAAGCCTAGGGGCTTTCTCCTGTCATTTTAAAACAAAGGAAACTGGCATTTGATGAGTTCTAAAATGGCAGGATTTTACTAGATGTTTACTTTATACGATTGGCTTCTCAGAAAGGCGGGTGTTTGGCCTAATGGTTAAGATGCCTGTTAAGATACCTGAATCCTTTAACAGAGTACCTGGGTTTGGTACCCACCTCTAACTCCTGACTTCAGTTCCTGCTAATATGGACTGCAGGAGTTAAGCAGTTCAGTTCCTGCCACCCACATGGGAGACCCGAATTGAATTCCTAGCTCCCAGCTTCAGACCAGCCAGGGCATTTAGAGAGTGAGCCATTGGATGGAAGCTCTTTTGTCTCCCTGTCTCTCAAATAAATTTAAAAGCAAGCAAGCAAACAAACAAAAAACCCAACTTTTAAAACAGCCCATTTGTATCCAGCTCAGATTTATTGTATGCCGTGGGGAGTACAACTGCATTTTGGGGAAACTGAATACCATATAACACTACTCACATTGGAGTAATTTGGAGTAATTTTTTTAACCTATTACAGTATTTTTTAAAAGGACCGTAAAGTGATTTCCTAGCCTTTAAAAAATGTTTAGTTGACACATGGTAATTGCATGTAGTATGGGGTGTGGTGTGGCATTTCAATATGTGTATGCAATGTGGAAGGCTCACATCAGGGTAATTAGTATGTCACCTCAGACATCTGTCATTTCTTTCTTTCTTCTTTTTTTTTTTTTTTTTTTGACAGGCAGAGTGGACAGTGAGAGAGAAAGACAGAGAGAAAGGTCTTCCTTTGCCGTTGGTTCACCCTCCAATGGCTGCCACAGCCGGCGCGCTGCGGCCGGCGCACCGCGCTGATCCGATGGCAGGAGCCAGGTGCTTCTCCTGGTCTCCCATGGGGTGCAGGGCCCAAGCACCTGGGCCATCCTCCACTGCACTCCCGGGCCACAGGAGAGAGCTGGCCTGGAAGAGGGGCAACCGCGACAGAATCCGGCGCCCCAACCGGGACGAGAACCCGGTGTGCCGGCGCCGCAGGCGGAGGAGTAGCCTAACATCTGTCATTTCTTTGTGTTGGGAACATTAAAAAATGCTCCCTATTAGCTATTTTGAAATATTCAATTAATATTGTCAACTAGATTTCATGGCCTTTTAGAGTCAGATTATATCTGAAGTTTGCCTTAATATGATTTGAGTTTTAGAATACCAGCTATTTTGAGCTTCTCTTGGAAGTTGGGTAGCAATGAGGCTTATGCAGAAGTGCTTGGAAACGTGTAAGGCACAGTTATCATTGCCCTTAGCGGGGATTCCTCGGATCACTACGTCTGCGGGCCCCAGGCTCATCCAGGAGGAATCAAGTGAGCCTGTTGCACCAGCCACTGGGGAATGGCTCACCCACTTCTACTGCTTCTCCTGTTGTCTAATAATTTCTCATCCAAAGAAGAGCCCAAGTTCATGTTTCCCGCATGACTGGAATGTCAGTTTTGAACGGCTTCAGCAGACAACCCTGAGACAGCAGAACAGCCTTTCCCATAAGCCCCAGGGACTCAGCTCCCCACATTCCTGTGAGTCCAAGCATCTGAGTCTTACAAAATCTGAGGTTAAAAGGCAGGCGGCCCTGAAATGCTGGTGGTCCCTGTGCTGTGTGCGGCAGATGTGACCCTCCATCGTTAGCCCTGTAGCTTTGCTTTCTGTGAGTCTTTTTCTCAGAATGGGCTGATGCTCTGTAGAGCAGGCCACGCTGCATGCCTGGGCTCGGGTTATGGATGTGATGATAGAATCAGAGTAGTTCCCAAGGTCAGACGCACCTGCCATGGCTCTCCTTCCATCCACTTCCCTCATTGTGAAGGACGTTGTAGAGCCAGGACTCAAATTCAGATCTGGCGTGGGCTCCAGTGTCAGCCATCCATCCACTGTGCTCTCCCTGCTTCTCCTTGCCCAGTGCTTTGCACATAATAGATGTTGAGAAATTTCTCTCCACTGATGGTGAAGAAACAGCCTGGGAATGAGAGTAGGAATCCCAGCCGGGAGGAGTGGTGAGTTGACACCACCACTAGAGGTCGCAGTTTAGCACATCTTTTCCAGCCCTGGGCTGTTTCCTGAAACAGAGTTGAGAAGGTCCCAGTTCCCCAGCCACCGTGCCCGCCCCATTATGGGAAAAAAACTGAGGTTTGAGGACTCTGTGGCTTACCCAAGGCTAAAAAGGTGCACTGAAGCTCACACCAAACCTTCGTGGAGCCTTTCACGGTTTATCATCTGAAAACAGCATTCAGTGACTGTGTGCCCGGTGCTGGGATTTGATGGTGAGAGCCCACGCAGGGCCCTGCTGGGGAATGTGACAGAATGGGAACCTGCTCTTGCTTATGAGGCTTGAGTTTGGCTCAGAGTTAGAAATACTTTTGCATCAGGCCGGCGCCGCGGCTCACTAGGCTAATCCTCCGCCTAGCGGCGCCGGCACACCGGGTTCTAGTCCCGGTCGGGGCGCCGGATTCTGTCCCGGTTGCCCCTCTTCCAGGCCAGCCCTCTGCTGTGGCCAGGGAGTGCAGTGGAGGATGGCCCAAGTGCTTGGGCCCTGCACCCCATGGGAGACCAGGAAAAGCACCTGGCTCCTGGCTCCTGCCATCGGATCAGCGCGCTGCGCCGGCCGCAGCGCGCCGGCCGCGGCGGCCATTGGAGGGTGAACCAACGGCAAAGGAAGACCTTTCTCTCTGTCTCTCTCTCTCACTGTCCACTCTGCCTGTCAAAATAAAAAAAAAAAAAAAAAGAAATACTTTTGCATCATGATCTAATAAATTACACAACTCTAGTGCATAATATTCTTACGTACATATAATATGAAGTAAAGCGTCGCAAAGTAATGCTTATCCTAATGAAATTGGAGTACATTCTATAATGTCCTAAGCTCATTTTTTTGGGCCTGTTTGGTAAGAAAAAGAATACTAATTACTGCCCATGAAGATTGATTTCATGATCCCCCATGATTTAATTGTGAACACCACTGCTCTAAATCATTGATTCCAAGTGTAAAGAGATCGGTGACCCTGAACTTTCATCATTATAAGAATGTGCCCAGAGATCTTAGTTTTGGGCAGAGGATAAAAGGTTACCAGGGCACAACTGTCAGGCACGGTTTGTTGGGAGCCTGGCAGGGAGGCGTGAGAGCCGTCCAGGGCCATAAGGCCCTCTCAGAAGGGTAGCCTTGCCAGATCTGGACTTCCGGGGAAGAATGCAGAGCCTGCCTGGGAAGCCAGAGGGGAAAGTCTGTCAAGCACTGGGACCCCATTAGACTGTGCAAAAAAGTCATCAGTGGGACTCACTGAAGGTTGAAGGGGAGAGTCTTGGAGCAGTGGTCTTTGTGGCTGTGGTGATGTAAGGGGCCTGAGAACAGGTAATTTTGTTTTCGTGAACCTCTGGGCCAATGCATTGCAGACTTCCGTGCACAGTAGAATCATCTGAGCATGTTGTGGAAATGCGGGTGCCAGGTCAGGAAGTGGGGAGAGGTGAGGACAGGGGAGGGCCTGACAGAGTCCGCAGGGAGAGGTGAGGACAGGGGAGGGCCTGACAGAGTCCGCAGGGAGAGGTGAGGACGGGGAGGGCCTGACAGAGTCCGCGCTGAGCCTCTGCGTTTTCCTTGCAGTCGTGGAGAAGGGCTGCCACTTGCGGCACATCCTGGCCTGTGCTCGCCTGAGGCTCCGCCCAGACCTGAGTGAGGCTGTGCTGCAGCAGGTGCTGGAGCTGCTGGAGGACCAGAGTGACGTGGTCAGCACGCTGGAGCACTACTACGTGGCGTTCTGAGCAGAGGCGCAGGCGGCTCACAGGCCCACCGGCCAGCAGGAGGAAGATGTGGACAGCACCCAGGAGCTTGATAAACTCGGTAAAGATGTGGCCGCTCGGGGAGTGAGATGCGGCATAGCTGCCACTGGCCGCTGTCTGCCTGCTGTCTCCTTGGGGTACAGTGCCTTTGCTCCCAGCCTCGACATACGAGAAGGCCCCATCGACCTCCTGGCTGGACTGGGCCCCGTTCCCAGAGCAGAACCCAGAGGAGACCGTGCTGGTGGCTTCCTCGGGGTGTTTGTGGTCTGAGACTCTGCTGTGGTCAAGGGACGTCATGGGGCAGAGGCCTACGTGCTGTGAGAACTGAAGAGCAGGCGGCCAGATCCACCATCTCAAACTTTCAGAGGTCCGTTCCCGTGGGCCTCTGGTGGTGGCTCAGAGCCCACCTCTGGGAGCAGCTGTCCCGGGAGGAGTGCCTGTGGCTCAGGCCCAGCCGTGGGCCCTGCAGTGATGCGTTCCTGACGATGGCCGAGGGTGGCAGCCAGCAGCCTGGCGGGCAGGAGGTGTCATTTTCAAGGCTGCTGCTGCTGAGTGTGCAGGGCATGCTGACACTGTAAAGACACAGGCGGGACCTGCCCGGACAGGCGGCAGAGTCCTGCCTCTGCTGGGAAGAGTCGGGCGAGCGGAAAACAGCAGAGCGCTGCAGGAGACCTGTTCCAACAGCGGCGTGCTAAATCCGCCAGCAAAAGCATCGTGTGCAGAAGGGTTCGGAGTTAATCACAATCATTTCACATCTGCCTTCGTCTGCTGCTGTGGCTCATGACGTAAGAGACTGTTGGTGGTTCAGCTGGAGCTCCAGCAGCCTGGAGGGCTGCTCTGTCCGGAGTGGAAACGGGACGTCGTTACCCTCAGAAGCCAGCCGCAGCCCGCAGATGGCCGGCTGGGAGCGCATCCTGGCACGGTGCTTCCTGTCGCGGGCCTTGCTGATGGGACCCAGACCTCTGGCGATTTCTCACAACGCCTGTGCAGACAGCTTCCCCGTGGTCAGAGGGTGCCTGGGGGAGAGAGTCTGCCTGCAATGACAACCCAGCAGTCCTTCTGCCTTGCATATTGAATCCATCTTTGACTAGTGGTGCTGCCCAGGAAGGAGTCTGGAATCAAAACGTTGGCAGTGCAAGTCCTCGCACCGGGGGTCTGTCTCGAGGAGGTGACCTCACTCGTGGGAAAGGACGCCCCGCCCCTTGTGTGTGATCTTGAGTCCTGAAGCAGGCACGGTACTGATTGTAGGGAGAAGTTGTTTGTGACCCATGTATGTGATGGAATACGACACAGCCTTAAAGTGACGGAAAACGCAGCTCTGAGTGCCAGGCGCGCTGTTCCCAGTGCGTTTAGCGGGAAGCACATCAAGTTCTCGATCTGTACATGGGTGCAGGGCATTTGCGTGTGCATGTGCGTGTGCGTGCGTGTGCGTGCATGTTGGGGAGCATGCCGGAGCGTGTTTGTTGCTACAGCTGTCACGTATGTGCATACATGCGGTTGACTTTGGCCCCCGCCTGGAAGTGCTTGTTTCACTTGGCTCTGCTGCCACTTCAGTCTCCTTTGCTCGGGGCTCAGCCCCAGACCTCTTTTCTGTCTGGTTTGCCCCCATAGGAGGCTCACACAGCCATGTGGGTGCTCCCATGTATATGCCGGGAACTCCCAGTTTGTACCTGGATTGGGCCTCTCCCCTGGCCATCAGAGCCTTCTGTCCAGCTTCCTCCTCACGTTTCCACTGAGTGTCTGAGAAACGTCACAGGCTTCCTGTGCCCAAAGCCAGGCTTCCCTGTCCCGCCAGTCCACACCTGCTCTTTCTGGTTCCTCTCTGATTCAGGGAGAGGCAGCTCCATTCTCCAGTTCTCAGACCAAAGCTGCTGACTTCAGTCTCTCCCAGCCCACGTCCAGGCTGTGCAAATCCTCTCGACCTGACTCAGAATGTTTCTAGACTGACCACGTTGCACGCTGCTACTGTCTCCCTGGATCATCACGGTCACCTCCTCGGGTCCCTCTTGCTTCCACTCTCACCCTTCAGTCTGTTCTCAGCACAGCAGCTGCAGTGACTGCCCAGGCTCCGGCTCTCGCAGCTTTTGGTCTCATGCCAGGTGGGAGCCCGAGGCATCCCGGTGCTCTGTGAGGCTCTGCCTGGCTTCTGGTTCTGCTGTGCCCGCTCCCAGCCCAGTCAGCCTCAGCACATTCCCACCTCAGGGCCTTTGCAATCCTTGTGTCCTTAGCCTAGAATGTTCCCCACCCAGAGAGCTGTGCTGTGCCTCCTTGCTCTGTGTGGAGCCTCCGTCCAGCACCACCTCCCTGAGGTCTGCTGGCACCGTGCTTGCTGATTCTATTGAACTCTTCCCCTCCCCAGCACTGCCTTCCCTGCCCAATTTTCCCCATGGCCCCTGGGCCTGCCCCCCACACTCTCTCTGTGGGTTCCTGTGCTGCCCTGCCCTGTTTGTCATTGTCTCCCCAGCAAAAAGCATGCTCCACGAGGGCAGAGCACCCCCTCTAGTGCTTCCTTCTGTGTCCCAGCACCCAGAGCCAGGCCCGGCACAGTTTCCCAGCAGCGCCACGCCTGTGTGTGGCCGGCTGCTTTCCAGCTGCGGGTGTCTGCCTCTTTCCTGGGGCTCTCTCTGGCATCCTGGGGATGGGGGGCTGTTCCAGCTGGAAGTGCTCAGAATTAGTGCCCCCTAGGAGCAGCCTGGACCAGTGGCACCGGGGCTATGACCACGCCAGCTCCCACACCCTGCAGGTGGGAGGTCGCTGAGGCCCTTGGGCTCCCCTGGTTCCCGGAGTCTGCTGGGTTAAGCGCCACTCACCAGTAGCAGCTGACTGTACGGCCACCAGCCTTCTCCCTCATCCTCCCCGAGTGCTTTTTATCCTTCAGCTGCTGCTGCACTCCCTAAATGCCCAAACAGCCGGGGCTGGGCTGGGCCAGAGCCAGGAGCCAGGAACTCAGTCTGGGCCTCTCGTGTGAGTGGCAGGAACCCAGGCCCTTGGGCCATCTCTTACCCAGGTGCATTAGTGGGAAGTTGGGTTGGAAGCGGCGGTGGGGCTGGATCTCAGGTCCTCTGAATGATGCTGGACTGCAGGTGTCCCGAGCTGCAGCTTCACTCACTGTGCCTCGTCGCCTGTCCTGGCAGGTGCTCTTTAAACTGCACCTGAGCTTTGGTGTTTGTGTGAGTAGCTAGTGTCAGTTCTACAAACATCCTGCAGCCGCTTCTCACTCACCCCATGCTCACAGTCTGAATCCTGACTTAACCAAGCAGGCCTCTTGCTCACACAACGGCATGAGAACTCACAGGGGCTGACCACAGGCCACTGTGTCGTGCTGAAGACCAGCCCCAGGGCTCCCCTGCAAAGGCACCTCTGGCTGTCCCGGTGTGCACGTTGCTGGAGGTGTAGACCCACGTGCAGTGTCTATGGAGCCTCTACCCGGGCGAGGATTGGCTGGAAGATGCACGCGTGTTGCGGCACGGTAAGCCGCAGCCTGCTCGTCCCTGTGAGACACTCCTCTCTGATTATCTTCCCTCTGATGCCGTGCCAGGGCACTGGCCGGGAGAAAGCCAAGTGGGAGAAGTCTGTTCAAAGACGAGGAACCCAGACTTGGTGCCAAGGGTTGAGACCAAGCAAACTGGTAATTTTCCGTTGGCAAGAGCATCTGTGCTTTCCCATGAGAGCGGTTCCTTCTCCGCAAGCGGCCTCCCGAGCAGTCGTCCCGAAGGAGCTCGTCGCTTCTCCGCTCTCCGCGAAGCACGGGCCGACTCAGACCATGACGAGGTCGGGGCAGCGGGCACTGGGAAGCAGTGGTGGTGTTTGTGCAGCCGTGAATATGCTCAGAACCACTGAGCTGGTTGGACTCCCTCCCACGGTGGCGGGATTCCCCCGGCTGTGAGCTAGAGGGCAGCACCGACGCCGTGCTGTGTATATATAGCTCCAGAAGCCGGCGTCGCTTCAAGGCTGTCACAAAGGAGCCTCATGCAGGCCCAAGAAGAGAGGAATAAGCAGCTCCTGGTGGGTGACAAGGTCTAGAGGGCCATCGGACCAGGAAAGTTGCTGTGGCCACTGTGGAAAATATGACACAGACATCTTTCAGGGGTCACGTACATACAGCACCATTTTTAAAAGGTGTAATACCAAAAGATACAAAGGAAGGAAATGCATCTACCTCCCTCAGGTACTGTGCATTTACTAAAGAGCACATGCATTTGTTAGAAAAACAACCATATTTTTAAAAATCAGCATTTCGTATGTGCCTTGGGTTTTTTTTTTTCTTAAACTTTTTTTTCTTAACTTTTTTTTTTTTTAATGTGTGAAGGAGAGAGACAGAGCTCCTGTCTGCTAGTTCACTCCCCAAGTGCCTGAAATGGTTGAGGCTGGGCTGGGGCCAGAGACAGGAGCTGGAGAATCATTCCAAGTCTCCCATGTGGGTGACAGGGACCCAAATACTTAAGCCGTCACCTGCTGCCTCCTGGGGTCTGGAGTGGGGAGTCAGAGCTAGAGGGCCTTGAACCCAGGAATTCTAGTCACTACAAGGCAGCTCACCCCATGGGAGCCTTTAGACAGACAAGTTCTACCAGGGACAGGGCCAAGGGTGGCCAGTCACATGTTCTAGCAGTAGTACAGAGCCTGGCCACCAGCATACCGTTTGTTGCACATCTGGAGTGAACATCCTGAAGGACTCAAGATTTCATGTGCTCGGCCACATGCCTGCCTTCGTATTATATAGTAATACATGAAGGCCTTGATCTTTTTTTCCCTTTATTTTTTGACAGAGTCAGACAGAGAGACAGTTATATACAGTGAGAGAGAGACAGAGAGAAAGGTCTTCCTTCCGTTGGTTCACTCTAGGGGAGTGGCTGCTATGGCTGGAGCTGCGCCGATCTGAAGCCAGGAGCCAGGTCCTTCCTCCTGGTCTCCCATGCGGGTGTAGGAGCCCATGCACTTGGGCATCCTCCACTGCCTTCCTGGGCCACAGCAGAGAGCTGGACTGGAAGAGGAGCAACCAGGACTAGTACCCGGCGCCTCAACCGGGACAAGAACCCGGGACGCCAGCGCCGCAGGAGGAGGATTAGCCTAGTGAGCCACGGCGCCAGCCAACACAAGAAGCTGATGTTATTGTCATCACTGACCGATGCCACTTTTGATCAATGTCTTGAGTAGAAATTGCTCCCTCAGGGAGGAGAGGTTAACTTTCTACTGGGGGCAGTCAGGGAGCCGAGGGGCAGAGGCCAGGTGAGGGCCCTCCTTCCACGTCTTAAGCTCTGCTTTGCAGCGAAGCCGTGCTGAGGCTCCCTAAGCTCCGGTGTGTGGCACAAGCTACCTGTGACAAAGTGCTGGATGTGCCGCTGCCCTGGGATTCATGAACAGTTTATTCTAATGTAAATGGAAGGATACTGGATGGAGTTAGAGTGTGGGTTTTGTTCTTCCTGTTTAGTTTCTTCCCCAGCAGAAAGCCAGTGTTTTCTCTGGGTGGTTAGGTCTGGGCGCTCCATGTGGAAGCCGCTGGTGCAGGTGACCTGGTTCCTCTGTTGTTCTGGGGCCCGGGGAGAGGGAGTGGAGACTAGCGGTCTCTGGGGCGCTGCACGGTGCACCCTGCTCTCTGACAGGCCTCTGGCAAGTGGCAGGATTTCTCCAGGTTTAGAGCCTCGGCCTAGGATTCCTGTGCCTCAACTTGGGCCTTGTGGAGGGACATCCAGGTTGGAAGTCTGGGGCTGGCAGCAGAGGCCATTGTCAGGAGATGAGCGAATAGCCTTGTCCCTGTCTACCAGCTCCCCTGTGGCTTCCTGGGTTTTCATGCCTCCCCAGGGAAAAGAGAACCTGCCCCAAGTTCAGCCCAGAGCATGGCGGCTCCCAGTCCAAGTGGTTTGAGGGAAAAACAGGAGTATGACAAGTCTTGTCAAGTGCAGTTAGGGGAGTAAGATTCATACCACACCAAAGGGAGAATCAGTTCAAGGTGCACCTTAGGTCATAGTCATGCTCCCACCTTGCCTTCCAGGCTATTCTGAGAGGGAGAACAAGGGGTGACGCTGCAGTGCAGCTCTGGGAGATTGCTTGTGATCCCCACCCCAACTGGAGTGGGGTAGGTGCTGCCCACGCAGACTTCCCACCTGGGCCACTGCAGGAACAGAGCTGGAATCACTGCCCCCAGGATGGAGGACAGAAAAGCGAAAGAGCTTATTGTGTTTCCCAGTGGGCACCACCTTATCTTGAGCTGAGAATATCCCCGGTTGTCTGCACTGTCAGCAGGGGAGGCAACCTGTGACTAGGGTGCTGCCCCGTCAGGCTCTGTGGGAGCGAGCATCAGACTCCAATTTGGGAGATTCCAGAACACTGGAGTGTGAGTCCTCCAGCATGAAGGAGCTTGAAGGCCTTACTCACTGCAGCAGCCGGCCCGGCCCAGCCCTGCCCAGCCCAGCTCAGCCCAGCGCCTGGGGCCGCGTCAGCAGGCCCTGCCTGTGCCTGTGGTTTCCACCCTGTCCCAACTTGCCTTGCCCTGGAAATGACAGCTGCCTTGGGAATGC